CTTTACTACAGGCATGTCTTTGTCTCTTAGTTGATTGTACATCCTAATTAATCAACATGAATCCTAACAGGACCTCATGGAGTCCAGGAGAGCCTTAAATTCTTTATGTAGCTGATGCTGACCCTGAACGCCTGGTCCTTCTGCCTTTACCTTTTAAGCGTTATGATACACACAAACCACTACATTAAGCCTTAAAATGTTTAAAATAATACATGTAAGCCAGAACTGGGGACACAGACCTGCAATTATAACTGTTTGGGAGGATGAGGCAGCAAGACCACAAGTTTAAAGACTTACCTGGATAGCTTATGAGACACTGTTTCAAAACACAAAGCAAAAGGTCTAGGGATGTAGCTCAGTGGTAGAGTACTTGCTTAGAATGCAGGAGGTGCTAGCTTCAATCCTCAACATTGCAAAGCAACATGATAAAAATTATGTTTATCAGCATCAAGAAAACACAGTCTAAAAGCTCCTGATTAATATTTCAAAACGTTTGTTTTGGTTATGTATGTGTGTTACAGAAAGTGCACCAGAGATGAGCACTCAGACACTGTTCATAGACAACTGAAAGGCTTTTTCTAGCCATCTGGGACTTCACTCAGGTATTCAGGACTGAAGTGTAGGCCTGAGTGTCCAGAGCACAGGGTTTTTGAAGGTAAAATCCAGGTCTTGGCATCTCACTCAGCAGATGCAGGGGCTTTGCTAAGCAGTTCGCTGCAGGGGGTTTTCCACAAGCAGGCAGTTTAACAGAAGCTAAGATAAGCTAGCCATGGCATCTTGACCCTGGGTTCCTAGAATAGAGTTGGGTAGTTTTCCAAGGGATTCTCCATCAAGGAGATCAAATTCTAGATAAGCCTGAAATGGCCTCAGCAAGCATACAAGATGGAGGAACCTCTGCACTGTCTTGCCTTGTTACATTCCCTACTGGTTCTATGGCCTTGAGTCAAATGGTTAACTTATGTTCTAGAGGGGCACAGATGGTCCTAAGGACCAGTTGCTTAATTGAATTTATTCTCTGTGATGTAGTTTGTCATGTAGTTGAGAATGCAGGGTTCAATCATTAGCCTGATCAGAATAAAAAGCAATAGTCCAGCTAATACTGATGGTAAGGTGGTCAGCCATGGGGACCAAGTAAACAAAGGCTGACACCAATTTTTTTCCCTTTGAACATGACAAGTTTTCCATAATTACCTGTAGTAGGCCAGGCCCATAGGGTCGAGGAAATTGGCTCAGACCAGTAGCCAAGGCATGCACATAACATACTCCTCAAGAGACAACCTGGAGTCTGTCTGAGGGCCTAGCAACAGGAGCTGTCAGAGTTCCTGGTCACTGTCAGAGTTCCTGATCATGCCAAGTCTGCCTGAAGACCTAACAACAGTCACTGTCAGAGTTCCTGATTGTGTCCAGCCAGTAAGGGATGACTACACAGACTGTGCACCTGGAGGAGGGTATATAAGGCCTTCCCTGTTATTGAATAAATGAGTTGGTTATTTGCTTTCAATGGACCCCTGGTATCTGTGTCATGTCCATGCCTTCTCACCCTCCTCCCCAGAGGGAGCCATTAGAATCCAAGCAACAATCACCCCAATTGGTTGGCATGGAAACAGAAATTTTCTCCTAAGGCTGTGCAAAGTCCTGTTTCATAAAAATGGGGTCCAGCCTCCTTCAATTCTGTAGGACTACTTTTGTGAGGGAGTTAACTTGGCTCTCCAGCCTGGAAACAGAATTCTCCAAATGATCTAGGTCTAAGTCTGTCTAGAATCCGAGTTCCTTAAAGTCTTTGTCAGATTTTGAGACACTTTGGCTGTGAAGGCCAGGCCACTGTCAGACCCCAAAGCTCAGTGCAGTCCAAATCTAGGAATTATTTCCTGAAGAAATTTCTTAGTAACTATTGGAGTAGTCTCTGTTAGGGTGGGGTAGGCCTCCATCCATCCTGAGAAGGTATCTACAAATGCCAGCAAATATTTATAGCCAAATGAGTAGGCCTGATTTCAGTAAAGTCCAACTCCCAGGACTCCCTGGGCCCATTTCCTGGAGCCCAGATCCCTTGTAGGATCTTCCTTCCCCATTTGGAGTTTGTGCTTCCCCAGGTGGCACATCTAAAAGTGGTGTCTCTAATCAGCCTTTCCAAATTTGAAACATAATACCTGGGTCTGAGGAGCTCAGCGGTTTTCCTGGTCCCTAGGTGAGGACTTCATGGAGATCTACCACCAGTTGCCTTCCCAGCCTCTGTCCTGCAGCATCTACCAACCTTGTTTATGATGTCTGGCCACTTCTTGTTTGGCCCATTCTGGGTGGTCCAGTAAGCAGGGCTCAGGCAGGGCTCTGAAGACTTGGAGTGTCCTCACTGGCTTTAGGGCCACGTCTTGTGGTGGCCAAGCCAGCCGCTCTGTTGTTTTTGGCCTCTGGGGAATCTCCTTTTTGGTGTCCAGTGAACAATGGCTGCCCTCTTGAGTAATCAGCTTCCAAGAGAGCCAAGATTTCTTCTCTATTTTTGATTTCTTTTCCTACTGGGGTTAGCAATCCTCTTTCCCTATGGGCATGGGCCATGGTGAAAGTATATCTGCCGTCAGTGTTTATGGTGAGAGCCTTGTTTTTCCCAGAGAAGTGTCAAAGGTGAAGTGCAGCTTGTTGAGCTGAGGTTCCCCTGCTTAAAGACTGTGCCCAGATAGTCTTCTTTTGGATCAACACTGCTGCCCCTGCACACCTGATCCCATCTTGGATGAAACTGCTCCCATCGATGAACAATACCTCTTCTGGTGTTTCCAACGGGACGTCAATCAGATCAGGTCAGTAACCTCCAAGGAGTTGTCTGGTTCCTAGGAGACTGGCAGGGTTGAGGGCTAATGTCTTATGGAACCAAATGTGGGGTTGATCAAGAAGCAGGGCTTGGTATTGGGTCACTTGAGCATTAAGACATCCATCTCTTGGGTGTTCCCCTCAAAAGGGCCTCAACAGAGTGTGAGGCTGTTAGGAATAGTTTGTGTCCTAAAGTTAATTTGTCAGATTCTTTTTACCAGCAAGGTGGTGGCAGTAATGGTGGCCTTTATAAATGCTGCCCATCCAGCTGTGACCAGATCAAGTTTCTTGGATAGATGTGCCACCGGTCTTTTCCAGGGTCCCAGGGTTTGTATGAGGACCCTCTAGACAATGCCTCTGGCCTCATCCATGCACAAGTGGAAAGGCTTAGTAATTTCTGGGAGGGCCAGGCCTGGGGCAGACACCAGGGCATTTTTCAAGACTTTGAAGGCCCTCTGCTCAGTCTCAGTCCATTCTAAAGGCTGAGTACCCCTGGTGTTGGCAGACAGGGGCTTGGCTGTCTCAGCAAACCTCATTATCCATGGCCAGCAGTATCTAACCACCCCCAGGAATTCCCATACTTATTTTTTTTTTGATCAGGGAGCAGGGATTTTCTTCAATTGCTGACTCTATCCACCATGTTTGAGAGTCCTGTGCTCCAGATTTCTCCTGCTTTTTCAATCTTTAACTGGCAGAGAAAATGAACACAACCCAGACCCACAGACCATATCATTTCAGAACCCCTAGCATGTATCAGTAGTCTGCTACTGTTAGGAAAACCCCAGGCACCTCAATAGGGCAGGGCCACTGACCTGGTCCAAAATGACAGTCTTGGTTCAGCACATGCTGGGCTATAAGATTGCTGGCTGACACTTCCAGCATTCTTCAGGAATTTGTGAAACCATTTCTGTCTGCTAGGAAGAGCCTTTTCCCTATTTCCCCTTCTTCTGGCAGATGAGACCAAAGCTACTTTTTGCATACCAAAGCTAATGCTAGCTCCAGATTCCTCTTTTGCTCCTTTTCACATATACTTGTTATGCATCTCAACGTCCAAGCTAGCATCCTGGCCCTTTGTACTTCTTCCTCTACCCTAAACTCCCCGGCAGCTCCAGTTCATAGGCCTCCCTTCCCCGCAGCTACTCATCCTACTTACAACTCACATGCTTTTTCCATCCCTGCTTCCCTATCCATGGCCATCTCTTTCTGTCTCTCTCTTATCTGGACTCCTTCAGAACAAATGTCCAGAGGCACTAGCATGAATACATAAATGTAGTAGAGAACAGCATATTATGTTAACTGTGAATCAAAGAATTACCCTCACCCATTTTTGGGTGGGTGACCCGAAAAACTGCCAAAAGATGCTAATCGGTGGATAATATACACAAAATCAAACAAATGACAAGCTATTGTTTAGTGACACACGAGGCAAAACTACAAAGAAATACAAAGCACAGTAATATAAAATTGAGGGAAAAAATTTAAAGGTTTAAAACATCCACCTGATGAACCAATTTTTCAATATTTCCCCCCGACTAGTGCGCCTCAAGATAGCATCTTGTCTGTTCTCTAATCTAGTTCCCTGCCCTAGCTCCTACGGCCGTGATAGGTCTCTAGTTCTTACTCATTTTTAAGGACTGGACTGCGAGACAGCTTGTGAGCTGTGTAAAAGGTACACCCTTTAAGGCAACTTTCAAGGCTGGGACGGTGGAGTTCAAGTCGTTGCTAGCCGCTTCAGTTCACTCCCGTCCCCGCGGGTAGTTTTTGCCCCGCCTCTGGGCACAGTGAGTGTGGAAAGACTGGGTTGAGGCAGAAATGTCGGCCAGACACCTAGGGGTGTGGAGGCTGCAGCCCTGCCACCCAGAATTAAGTAAAGTGTGTGTAACCAACAGCAGCTTCGATCACACACACACAGACACACACATAGATAGATAGACACACACACAGGCACACACACAGATAGATAGACACACACACACACAGAGGCACAGACACACAGACAGACTGACACAGACACACACACACACACACGCACACACGCACACACGCACACACACACACACACTCTCATACACACACCCCGACGCCAAGCTCTGATGTCGCGGTCAATCCAAATTCACTCGCAAACGCCCTCTCTGATGACGTCACGGCCCTCCCGCACTTCTGATTGGAGGAGCAGCGTCCGGCTACTCTCGCGACATCTCCTTGCCAGATCCCGGTCTTCCTCCCTGCACCGGGACCGCTGGTGCATCGCGAAGCACGTTGAAGCCGGGACGCTGTAGACTAGACGGGCTTCCGGGACTCGTCCAGAGGCGGCGACTCTTTGCCGACGTCCCCGGGCACGAGGTTTGGCTCGCGGGCGTGCTGCCTGCCAGGCGCGCGGGCGCGTGGGACCGACTCTCCACAGCGTGGCCGGGCCGGCTTGCAGGGCCTCCCGAGGGTGCCAGCCGTGGCCCTGCGGCGTTGCCAGCCTCTGGCTTGGGTCGCTTAGGTCTCCATGGAGACAGCCCTTTAACCACTTTTACGTCTGTCATTCTGTCATTCTTGGGGCCCCACGTGGGAGTCGGAAAGATGTAGATGGGAGGGAAGCTGCAGACGGTACCTAAGAGCAGGAACGCACCAGGCTGGACAGGGTGGATTTTACGCATTGGGGAGGCCCAGTTCACCAGGACACACGTTTATCTATAGAACATGCAGAATCACCGAATCTGTTTTTTGAGCAGCCCCTAGGACTCCGGGATCAAATACTGCTGCAAACTGGCCATTTTCCTGAATTGTCTCCACAGTGTCCTTCTTCAGTACCTTCTCACTTGATACGCGGGCTGCTCGTTTAGGAAATTCCTAAATTTAACGAAGAACTTCAAATTTTTTCCTTGTTGTATGTCTAGCTTTGTTCATTCTTAACTTTTTGGTGGGCGGCTCTCTTGCCTTTAATGTAGTGACTTGTTGTCCAAATGGACTATAGGAACAGCCTGACACTTGGCTGTAGCGTGTACTTTTAGGTAACAGGTGGTCCACTTTTCTGCCATTAAAGGTATTTGTCCTTTCCAGAATGTCTCTAGCAAATGTTAATTCCTTGGTTTTGTCCAACAAATGTTTATAAAGCATCTACATGCCTGAATGGTGAAGGAGTTGAGAATTAAAACACTGACCACATCATTAAAATGGCCACCTTCATGGAGTTTACTACTAGGAAAAACAGACAGTGTACAGATGTGCAAATTAATGTAATTTCAGGTAGTCATACATGCTGTAAAAAAATAATGAAGTGGTGTGTGTATCAGAATGATGACAATTTAGATAAAGTTCCAGAAAACTTCTCTTGGGTGGTATTTAATCACAAACTTGGAGAATAAGAAATAAGGCCTTGCCATATGTGTGGGACAGAGCATTAATTGGCAGATCTGGAAGTTTCATAGGTGATGATAAGCATCAGGAAATGTGAGAGCTCTTAAGGTGGCGGAGTAGACTGATTTGAAATGAATAGCAGAGGAAACTGGGGCCAGATTGTTTTCAGGCTTGTGAATGCCAACACCCAAATTTGGACATTAGTAATTAATAAATTGCATTTAGCGCCATTGGAAACCCTTGAGAAGTTTATAAGTTAAGTGCGAGGTTAGACTTAGTTTTTTTTTTTTTTTTTTGGTGTTTCGAGATAGGGTTTCTCTGTGTAGCTTTGTGCCTTTCCTGGAACTCACTTGGTAGCCCAGGCTGGCCTCGAACTCAGAGATCCCCTGGCTCTGCCCGAGTGCTGGGATTAAAGGCGTGTGCCACCACCGCCCGGCATTCGTTAGTGTTTTTAAAGGATTACTTTGATGATTGACAAGAATGGATTCTTGGAGTGGGGGAGGCAGTTAGGAAGCTGTGTCAGGAGTATAGGTGAAATGTGAAATGTATTGAGTCAGTTTCTGCCTGGGAGAGTCTGAAGGTAGCCCATTCCTCATTGGACCACAGAGGTCTCCTTTGACAAGCTTTCATCAGCTTTCTAATCCTTCAGTGGGACAAAAGAAATCTCCCTTTCGAAGCCGCAGCTATTTTAAGGACTGCATAGTAAAACCCCATTTCAAACAACAGCAGCAAAACCGCTAAACAATCAAACAAGCAAACAAAAAGCCCAGTTTTTCTTTTGTAAACCAAATATCCTCAGTTCAGTGATTCTCAGCGCGGGGCAGTTGTGCCCTCTAATAGTGGCGCTGTTGGGAGACATCTATTGGTTGTCTTAACATGTTGATACTCCTGGCATCTGATGGGGTAGAGACTGGGGAAGCTTTAATCATCCTATAGTGCATAGGACAACACCCTCAACTAATGGTCATATGGCTCCAAATGTCAGTGTTGCAGGAGAAACCCTCCACTGGACCAATGTCTTAAGCTATTCTTTCTTACAGAGACTACTGATCGTTCTGTCTAAAATGGGTGTGAAGAAGAAAAGAGAAATGCAGGTCGCTGCGTTGACTGTTTGTCCTGAGGACCTGGAAACTTTGAGATGTATGTGGTTTTTAAATTTCATTTGTTTAATGAATGAATTTGCAAGTTTGCAAGCCAAGTATTTGAATTTCTGGGACCCTGTAGAGTATAATGCTGAAATTCTTTCTGCTTCATTTTTCTATTTTTTTTTTTTTTTTTTGCATTCAGTTTTGGGTAAAGATAGTTTTGTTAAATATTATATTCCTTTAGACTGATTTCTACTTGCTATTTTGACCTATATACTTTTTTAAAAAAGGATTTATGTATGTATGCATACCATGTATGTGTGTACCTGAGGCCCACAGAGGTCATAAGAGGTAATCAAATCCCCAGGAACTGTAGTATGGAGGGTAGTTAGTTGCCACGTGGATGCTGGGAACTGAACCTGGGTCCTCTAATGTCAGAGCCTCTATGTCTACTTTTACTTTGTTCTCTCTCTCTCTCTCTCTCTCCCCCTCTCCTTCTCCCTCTGTGTGTGTGTGTGTGTGTGTGTGTGTGTGTGTGTGTGTGTGTGTGTGTGTCAATTTGACACAAGCTAGAGTCATCTGGGAAGAGGGAAGCTCCATTGAGAAAATATCTCTGTCAGATTGGCCTGTGGGCAAGTCTGTGTGTGGGGGAATTTTCTCGATTAATGATTGATGTGAGAGGGCCTAGCCCATTGTAGGCAGTGACACCCTTGGACAGGTGGTCCTGGGTTGTATAATAAAAGCAAGCTGAGTAATCCATGTGGAACAACCAGTAAGCAGTGTTGTTTCCATGGTCTATGCTTCGGTCCCAGCTCCAGGTCCCAGCCTTGTCTTCCTGCCCTGACTTCGTTAGTGATGGACTGTGACCTGGGAGTTGTAAGATAAACCCTTTCCTCCCCAGTTTACTTTTGGTCATGGTCTTCTCACAGCAGCAGAAGGCAAACTAAGCCAGTATGTGTCTGTGTGGACGTACACATGCCCTCAGACAGGTGGAGAGGTCAGAGGATGGCTTTTCGGAGTCGGCTCTTCGCCCTCCACTGCATGGGTTCTGGGTCACACTCAGGTCAGGCTTGGTGGCAGCCGCCTTAGCTGCTAACCCATCTCACTGCCCTGGTTTGTATCCTTAGCAGTTTTGTAGAATGTAGAAGAAAGGTACTATTAATCCGTATGTAGTTACAGCATTAAGTTTTTGTTTGTGTTCCTTAGCTTTAGCTGATGCAGAAGGGAAAAATCTAGCCTCTTTGCTGTTACATTGTGTACAACTCACGGACGGAGTGTCACAAATCCGTTATATTAAACAGGTAATGCTGAGTTTTTGTTCATGATTGTGTCTCGAATATTACCATGCTGTTAATGGATTTTAAACATTAACTGACAGTTTCTGGCTTCGGTTATTGAATGCCAGTTTATCACCAAATGATAGTTTTTCCTTTTTCTGTTCATTGTATTTTTTATTCAGAGAAGCAATAGAAACAATATCTAAGCTTCTACCATCAATGGGACTATAAGTAGACAAGAGATAATTGTGTGCAATTTCTTTTTTAATTTTTATCTTTTTGGATTTTTGAGACAGAGTTTCACTGTGTAGCCCTGGCTGTCCTGGAACTTACTTACTCTGTAGACCAGGCTGGACTTGAACTCAGAGATCCACTTTTTTCTGCCTCCCAAGTGCTGGGATTAAAGGTGTGTGCCACCATTACCCGGCAATATTTTTTTTAAAATTATTATTAATTTTGAATCTTCAAAACTTTTTGGCAGGCACATTTGAAAGTTAATTTAAAATATAGATTGCTCTTATTTGTATTTCAGCATTTAGATTTTCCACACATACACACTTACTTTGAAATCAGTTAAATATATTATTACTCACTTTTTTTTTTTTTTTTTTTGGTTTTTGGGGACAGGGTTTCTCCATGTAGTTTTGGTGCCTGTCCTGGATCTTGCTCTGTAGACCAGGCTAGCCTCGAACTCACAGAGATCCGCTTGCCTCTGCCTCCCGAGTGCGGGGGATTAAAGGCGTGCGCCAACATGCCTGGCTTATTACTCACTTTTAAAGAGTGCTATAGATTTTCTGTATTGCTATGCCTTAGGCATGTATGTGACTCTCAGTGTGAGTGGGTCAGGAAGTAAAGAGGGAGGGGCATGCGTTAAAGGTTTATAAATACTGGAATCAGGCTGGGAATGTCCTCTGTTGGTAGAGTGATTGTCCTGGTCTGGTCCTCAGCACCACATAAATAGACATGGTGACACATGTCTGTAGTCTCCACTCTCAAGAGGTCGAAGCCAGAATATCAGAAGGTCAAGGTCACTTTCCCTCTTCCCTTCAAAGGAAAGAAAAATGACTTAAAAGAATATTTGTAATCATCTTAGTTTGATGTATTTGATATTAGAAAGAATTGCTTTGAATTTTTTTTTTTAATTATAGATTGTGCCTGTCCTGGAGAAGGTAGATAAAAATGGTGTGTATGATCCTGCTATTGAAAATTGTTTGAGAATTATAGCAAGCATTTATTTTTCCTTGACTCTGAAGAATCCCTTGAAGAAAATCTTGGCAAGGTAAGGAAAGGAAGGAAGTTAAGTTGAATGCTACAAAAAAAAAGCCGGGGCCTGGGGATCCACTTCAGTGGTGGAGTGCTCACCTACCTAGTAGGGAGAACCCTGGGTTCCATCCCCAGCACTTAAAAAAAGAAAAAAGAAAAAGCAAAGTTCATTCACTGTTTTGGTAAAATTAAACTATAACACTACAAGTTTTATTTATACTATCTATCCATGTATCTGTCTGAGGTCTTTAGAAAGCAAAAAGCCTTAGGTTATAGGATTTAAAAAAAACAAGCTGTACCTTTGTTCTGTGGTCCCAGGTCACAGATTGCTGGGTCAGTTCTTTTATCTGGATGTTTGAATCTGTCATCCTGTACCTTTTCTCCGTCCCCATCTATTCTAACTCAGATAGTACAGGAGTATATCCTTTGTGTAAAGTAGGCCTGAATTCCACCATTTCTGCCTTGTTTCATTTTCTTTAGGAAAGGGTTTTCACTTTAATTTTGGTTTTTGTTTTTTGAAACCTTTTCTTTGGGTTTGACATATATACTATGTTTTAGTTTTAATATTTTTACATAAGTGGGATTATATTCTACACAGTACTCTGTAGTTGGTTTATTTACTAAAGAATGTCTTGGAGGGCAGATGAGATGGCCACACAGTGTCAGGGCAATTCTCATCAAGCCTGATGGCCTGAGTTTGATCTCTGCCTCCTACATGGTAGAAAGAGAGAACCAACTCTTGCAAGTTATCCATGTTCATATGTGTGCTGTGGTACCTACCCATGTGTCCCCCTCAGTAAACAAGCACATAGAATATTAAGAGAAATTTCTGTATCAGGATAGCCCTTTTAAAATATATTCACTTATTTTCATTTTGTGAGTGAGTATTTTGTCTGTATTTATTTCTATGTACATACTCCATATTATGATATGTCAAAATGTGAATTATGATGCATATTATTTGGTTTATTTAATCTCCTTGCCACTGATGACTATCTGGTGTTTTAGATTTCACTATTCCAGAAGTGCTGCAGTGATATTCTTTGCATACATAAAGTATGTGTAATCATGTGCAGGAATGACTAGAGGGGGAGTTGTAGACCATTTTGCAGATGTTGTTGACTATACTTCCCCTAAACTATTTATTAACACTTCTCCAGCTGTGAGCGACACTACTTATTTCTGTGTCTCTCCAGCACTGAATGACACCGGTTTTTACATTTTTACAATCTGAAGATGAGAAATGCTCTTTTATTATCACTTATTTTTCCCAGATTATTAATGTTAACTTGGTGCTGGGGTTTGACCCCATCAGGGTATGCATATTAGGCAGATACTCTCCCACTGAACCACATCCCCAACTCATGGTTGAACATTTTGTAATGTGTGCAGTTTGATTACCTTTTAAATTATATCTTTTCATTGTCTTATAATCTTTTCTTGATTTATAAGTGTTCTATATAAATTATGTACCAAATGTATTTTTTCCACTTTCTGCATGATATATTGTCTTTATAAAATTAAAAAAGATCATGACCCTAATAATACTTTTCACTATATATATTTCTAAATTTTATGCCTTGCTCATTTTATGCTCTTTCTAATTCAAGATTGTTATTTCCTGTCTTACTTTTTTTGCTCCGTTTTAAATTCATCTAGAATCAAGTTTTGAGGATTGGGTGAGGTAGGGTCTAGTTTAGTTTCCTGTTTCATATAGAATCTCTGTTATTCCCAGACTGTTGACTCATACATTTCCCTTATATTTGGAATACTCCTCGTCATTATGTATTTTTATAAAAACTCAGGTTTGATTATTTTAGACTTGTGTGTATTTGTTATACCAACACCACTCTTCTTTTACTAATATGATTCAGTTACACAGAATTAGTTACCTTTCTACTGAATTTTCTTTTTTGGACTATTCCAGTTTTTAGATTATTTCTTCTAGAAGAGTAGTGAGGTTTTCAAATAAAACCTTATTTGTGCTTATTAGTGCAGCTGTATGTGGAGCTTGTTTTGATTTAATTGGACTAATATTGGCATAACTTTCTATTAAGGAAATTTTTGTTGAGTACTGTGTTCCAAGGACATTTAATTCCTCAATTCCTAGTGAGGTTAAAATGAATAGAACAACTTAGATTTTTAGAAATCTTAGATGCTGAGGGGGAAATGGAAAAGCCAGTACCATGTGCAGGATAACATGGCCCGAGAGCTGTGAAGAAGAGGAAAGCTGAGAGTGGAGAAAGGGGAGCCGGCGTGGGCTGTCGGTTTGCCGTGTGGCTGGCCATGTCTCACCCTTCCTTCACTTGGGCTAGGTGACTTGGAGATTGAACGACAAGATTTGAGGTGTTTGATGGAAGAGTGTTCTGGATGGAGGAAATAAGTGAAGATTTTGATAGATAAGCACTCAGAACAAGGAAGAGTCATATAGCCAGAGTTAAGTGATTAAGGATTGAGAGGAGGGCTAATGGTGAGGGGAGAGAGGAAGGTTTTGAAAGGCCTTGTGGGTTATTGTGAGCTGTGCTTATTAGTGCAGCTGTATGTGGAGCTTGTTAGAGGATCACAGGTAGATAGATGGCCAGGTCTCTGTGTCCCTGTGTTCTGCATTTGGCAAACTCAGGTCATGTACTGAACATATACAGACTTGTTTTCTTTATTTGTCCTTTGAACGACAGAGTAAACAACTGTCTGTATAGCATCCGTATTGCATTAGGCATTACAAACAACTTAGAGATGGTTTAGAGCGTATGGGAGAATCTGCACAGGGTGTAATGCAAATGCTCTGTGTGTTATACAGGAGGTTGAGCATCCCCCAGTTTTTTTCCTGGTTACCATCCTCATAGTAAATGCTGACTGCATGGTGCTGTTGCTCTGGCTACTCTGTTGAGAGAAGGCTTGGGGAGCAGAAACGGCAAAATGGAACCAGGGACGAGAAATGGTAGATCAGTGAATTTCGGTGGTGGTGGTGCAGGGTTATAACTTTGGGGCTATATTTTGAAGGTGTGATTCAGTGTTTAACATTTGTATATTCTCCGCTCTCCGTACTTAGCCCAGTAATAGAAGCTTTTCATCCTTTGTTTCTTTTTTGCAGCTCACTGAATGGCCTACCTGAATATTTTGTAACTGATGCTACATACTGTTTTATTTTTTACCTTCAAGAAGACTTGGAAACTGCTGACTTATATTCTTATAGAAAAGTGATGGACAACATATCTTCCTGCCTGGAGAACTTTAATGTGGGTAAGCCAGCACTTCTCAGGGCCTTTTCCTGCTGATGTCTGTCATCACATCACCTTTTTAAAATGGTCATTTTGGTAGAAGCTCCTTAACACTGTTATTTTCCCACCTGCAGGTACAGCATGTGTTGTTTATCTGCTTAAAGTTGGTAAGTCTTGATATTTTCTTTTGTGCTGAGTTGTTTTAGAGATGACTCCCAGATAACTAAAGTTATCTTTGCAGTTCCTGCTTCTCCGTGATGTCATTTTTGGTAGATATTTTATGATTTCCTGGTACTGAAGCTGAAACTTAGTTTGGAGCTCTGGTTTGTCATTCTGTTCTTTTTCTTTCAGTGCTTCGTTTTCTGTACAAGAGTTTAACTGACATCCTGGAGGAAAACAGGCGAGTGCTGGATGTTTGCATGCTTGTGCACATGTCTGTGTGCACATGGGGATTGTCTTGTACAATGGAAGCTTTCTTTCTTTCTTTTTTTAATATATATTTATTTTATGATTACCTTAATTTCACATATCAGCCACGGATTCCCCCGTCCTCCCTCCTCCCACCCCCTAGTCCTCCCCGCCACTCCATCCCCCATTCCCACCTCCTCCAAGGCAAGGTCTCCCCTGGGGAGTCAGCCCAGCCTGGTAGACTCAGCTGAGGCAGGTCCAGTCCCCTCCTCCCTACACCAAGGCTGAGCAAAGTGTCCCAGCATAGGCCCCAGGCTCCAAAACGCCAGCCTGTGCACCAAGGACAGGTCCTGGCTCCACTGCCTGGGGGCCTCCCAAACAGTTCAAGCTAATCAACTGTCTCAGTTATCCAGAGGGCCTGGTCCAGTTCCATGGGGGCTCCTCAGCCGTTGGTTCATAGTTCATGCGTTTCCACTAGTTTGGCTATTTGTCCCTGTGCTTTTTCCAATCATGGTCTCAATATCTCTCACTCATACAATCCCTCCTTTCTCTCGCCAATTGGGCTCCCAGAGCTCCTCCTGGGGCTCGGCCGTGGATCTCTGCATCTGCTTCCATCAGATACTGGATGAGAGTTCTATCATGACAGTCAGGGTGTTCAGCCATCCGATCACCAGAGCAGGTCAGCTCAGGCACTCTCTTGACCATTGCTAGTAGTCTACGGTGGAGGTATCTTTGTGGATTTCTGGGGACCTCTCTAGCACTCTGCTTCTTCCTATTCCCCTGGGGTCTTCATTCATCATGGTATCTCCCTCCCTGTTCTGCCACTCTGCTCCTGATCCAGCTGGTGCCTCCCGCTCCCCTAAGCCCTCTTTCCCCTGACCCTTGCCCTCCATTACCCCCCACCCCCAGTTTGCTTATGTAGATCTCATCCATTTCTCTGTTGTTGGGCGATCCCTGTGTCTTTCTCAGGGTTCTCTTTACTAGGTAGCCTCCCTGGAGTTGTGAGTTGCAGTCTAGTTATCCTTTGCTTTACATCTAGTATCCACTTATGAGTGAGTACATACCATGTTTGTCTTTCTGAGTCTGGGTTACCTCACTCAGGATGATTTTTTTCTAGTTCCATCCATTTGCCCGCAAACCTCATGATGTCATTGTTTTTCTCTGCTGAGTAGTACTCCATTGTGTGTATATACCACATTTTCTTTATCCATTCTTTAGTTGAAGGGCATCTAGGTTGTTTCCAGGTTCTGGCTATTACAAATAATGCTGCTGTGAACATAGTTGAGCATGTGTTCTTGTGGTATGATTGAGCATACCTTGGGTATATGCCCAAGAGTGGTATAGCTGGGTCTTGAGGGAGGTTGATTCCCAATTTTCTAAGAAAACGCAATATTGATTTCCATAATGGCTGTACAAGCTTGCATTCCCACCAACAGTGGAGGAGTGTTTCCCTTGCTCCATATCCTCTCCAACATAAGCCCTCTTCAGTGTTTTTGATCTTAGCCATTCTGACGGGTGTAAGATGGTATCTCAGAGTTGTTTTGTTTGCATTTCCCTGATGATTAAGGATGCTGAGCAATTCCTTAAATGTCTTTCAGCCATTTGAACTTCTTCTGCTGAGAATTCTCTGTTTAGCTCTATAGCCCATTTTTTAATTGGACTGTTGGGTATTTTGATGTCTAACTTTTTGAGTTCTTTAAATATTCTGGATATCAGCCCTCTGTCAGATGTGGGATTGGTGAAGATCTTTTCCCATTCTGTAAGCGGTCATTTTGTCTTATTGACTGTGTCCTTTGCCCTACAAAAGCTTCTCAGTTTCAAGAGGTCCCATTGATTGTTTCTCTCAGTGTCTGTGCTACTGGTGTTATATTTAGGAAGTGATCTCCGGTGCCAATATGTTCAAGACAACTTCCTACTTTCTCTTCTATCAGGTTCAGAGTAACTGGATCTATGTTGAAGTCTTTGATCCACTTGGACTTAAGTTTTGTGCACGGTGACAGATATGGATCTATTTGCAGTCTTCTACATGTTGACATCCAGTTGTGCCAGCACCATTTGTTGAAGATGCTTTCTTTTTTCCACTGTACAGTTTTGTCTTCTTTGTCGAAAATCATATGTTCATAGGTGTGCGGATTAATGTCGGGGTCTTCAGTTCGGTTCCATTGGTCCACATGTCGGTTTTTATGCCAGTACCAAGCTGTTTTTATTACTGTAGCTCTATAGTAGAGCTTGAAGTCAGGGATCATGATACCTCCAGAGGTTGTTTTATTGTACAGGATTCTTTTGGCTATCCTGGGTTTTTTGTTTTTCCATATGAATTTGAGTATTGTTCTTTCCAGGTCTGTGAAGAATTGTGTTGGGATTTTGATGGGGATTGCATTGAATCTGTAGATTGCTTTTGGTAAGATTGCCATTTTTACTATGTTAGTCCTGCCTATCCATGAGCATGGGAGATCTTTCCATTTTCTGACATCTTCTTCAGTTTCTTTCTTCAGAGACTTAAAGTTCTTGTCATACAGGTCCTTCACTTGTATAGTTAGAGTTACCCCAAGGTATTTTATATCATTTGTGGCTATTATAAAGGGTGATGTATCTCTGATTTCTTTCTCAGCCCGTTTGTCATTTGTATATAGGAGGGCTACTGATTTTTTTTGAATTAATCTTGTATCCTGCTACATTGCTGAAGGTGTTTATAAGCTGTATGAGTTCCTTGGTCGAATTTTTGGGGTCACTTATGTATACTATCATGTCATCTGCAAATAGTGAAAGCTTGACTTCTTCCTTTCCAATTTGTATCCCCTTGATCTCCTTATGTTGTCTTATTGCTCTGGCTAGAACTTCAAGTACTATATTGAATAAGTATGGGGAGAGTGGACAGCCTTGTCTTATTCCTGATTTTAGTGGAATTGCTTTGAGTTTCTCTCCATTTACTTTGATGTTGGCTGTTGGCTTGCTGTAAATTGCCTTTATTATGTTTAGGTATGTTCCCTGTATTCCTGATCTCTCCAAGACCTTTATCATGAAGGGGTGTTGGATTTTGTCAAAGGCCTTTTCAGCATCTAGTGAGATGATCATGTGGTTTTTTTTCTTTCAGTTTGTTTATATGGTGTATTACATTGACAGACTTTGGTATGTTGGACCATCCTTGCATCCCTGGGATGAAGCCTACTTGATCATGGTGGATAATTGTTTTGATGTGTTCTTAGAGTCTGTTTGCCAGTATTTTATTAAGTATTTTTGCATCAATGTTCATGAGGGAGATTGGTCTGTAGTTCTCTTTCTTTGTTGCATCTTTGTTTGGTTTGGGAATCAGGGTAATTGTAGCCTCATAGAAGGAGTTTGGTAATGTTCCTTCTGTTTCTATTGTGTGGAACAATTTAAAGAGTATTGGTATTATCTCTTCTTTGAAGATCTGGTAGAATTCTCTGCTGAAAACATCTGGTCCTGGGCGTTTTTTGGTTGAGATACTTTTAATGAATGTTTCTATTTCCTTAGGGGTTATTGGTCTGTTTAAATAGTTTATCTGGTCTTGATTTAACTTAGGTATGTGGTACCTATCCAGAAAATTATCCATTCTTTTAGATTTTCCAGTTTTGTGGAGTACAGGTTTTTGAAGTATGACCTGATAGTTCTCTGGATTTCCTCAATGTTAGTTGTTATGTCTCCCTTTTCATTTCTGATTTTGCTAATTTGAATGCTCTCTCTCTGCCTTTTGGTTAGTTTGGATAAGGACTTGTCTATCTTGTTGATTTTCTCAAAGAACCAACTCTTTGTTTCATTGATTCTTTGTATTGTTCTCTTTGTTTCTATTTTTATTGATTTCAGCTCTCAATTTGATTATTTCCTGGCATCTATTCCTCTTGGGTGACTTTGCTTCTTCTTGTTCTAGGGCTTTCAGGTGTGCTGTTAAGTCACTAGTGTGAGATTTCTCCAACTTCTTTATGTGGGCATTTATTTAGTGCTATGAATTTTCCTCTTAGCACTTCTTTCATAGCATCCCATAGGTTTGGGTATGTGGTATACTCATTTTCATTGATCTCTAGGAAGTCTTTAATTTCTTTATTTCTTCCTTGACCCATTGGTGATTCAGTTGAGCATTATTCAGTTTCCATGAGATTATAGGCTTTCTGTAATTTTTGTTGTTGTTGAAATCTAACTTTATACCATGGTGGTCTGATAGAACACAGGAGGTTATTCCATTTTATTTTGTATCTGTTGAGATTTACTTTGTGACCGAGTATGTGGTCGATTTTAGAGAAGGTTCCATGGGGTGCTGAGAAGGTATATTCTTTTTTGTTAGGATGGAATGTTCTGTAGATATCAATTAAGTCCATTTGAGCCATAACATCAGTTAAGTCCCTTATTTCTCTGTTAAGTTTCGATTTGGCAGATCTGTCCAGTGGTGAGAGTGAAGTGTTGAAGTCTCCCACTATTAATGTGTGGGGTTTTATGTGTGATTTAAGCTTTAGTAATGTTTCTTTTACATATGTGGGTGCCCTTGTGTTTGGGACATAAATGTTCAGAATTGAAACTTCATCTTGATGGATCTTTCCTGTGATGAGTATGTAATGCCCTTCTTGATCTCTTTTGATTGATTTTAGTTTGAAGTCTATTTTGCTGGATATTAGGATGGCTACATCTGCTTGTTTCTTAAGACCATTTGATTGGAAAGACTTTTCCCAGCCTTTTATTCTTAGGTAGTGTCTATCTTTGAAATTGAGGTATGTTTCTTGTATGCAACAGAAAGACGGGTCCTGCTTTCACATCCATTCTGTTAGCCTGTGTCTTTTTATAGGTGAATTAAGTCCATTGATATTAAGGGATGTTAGTGACCAGTGATTGTTAGTTCCTGTTATCTTTTAGTGGTAGTGTGTGTGTACTTCTCTTCTTTGGGGTTTACTGCTGTGGGGTTATCTATTGCCTGTGTTTTCGTGGGTGTATCTGATTTCCTTAGGTTGGAATTTTCCTTCTAGTGCTTTCTGTAGGGCTGGATTTGTGGATAGGTATTGTTTAAATCTGGTTTTTGTCTTGGAATGTCTTGTTCATTCTGTCTATGATGATTGAAAGTTTTGCTGGGTATATTAGTCTAGGCTGGCATCCATGGTCTTTTAGTGTCTGCATTACATCTGTCCAGGTCCTTCTGACTTTCAAAGTCTTCATTGAGAAATAGGGTGTTATTCTGATGGGTTTGCCTTTATAAGTCACTTGGCCTTTTTCCTTTGCTTCTCTTAATATTCTTCCTTTATTCTGTAGGTTTAGTTGTTTAATTATTATGTGGCAAGGGGACTTTTCTTGGGGGTCTAGTCTGTTTGGTATTCTATAGGCTTCTTATATCTTCATAGGTATTTCCTTCTTTAAGTTGGGAAAGTTTTCTTCTATGATCTTGTTGAATATATTTTCTGTTGGTATTCTTCTCCTTCCTCTATCCCTATTATTCTTAGGTTTGGTGTTTTCATGGTATCCCACAGTTCTTGGACATTTTGTGTTATGACTATTTTAGCTTTGGTGTTTTCTTTGACTGACGAATTCCTCTGTTGTATCCTCTATACCAGAGATCCTCTCTTCCATCTCTTGTATTCTGTTGGTTATGCTTGCATCTGTGTTTCTTGTTCATTTACTCAGATTTTCTCTTTCCAGCATTCCCTCTGTGTCTTCTTCATTGTTTCTATTTCCCTTTTCAGGTCTTGAACTGTTTCCCTCACCTGTTTGATTGCTTTTTCATGGTTTTCTTTAAGAGATGTATGGCTTTCTTCCAATTTATTTATCTCTTCTTCTATTTCATTTTTTTGTTTGTCTTTGTCTCAATTTCTTTATTGATTTCTTCCACTTTTTTGTTTATCTTTTCCTCCATTTCATTTTTTATTTTTTCTTGAAAGGCCTCTAGCATCTTCATGATGCTATTCTTAAGGTTACTTTCTTCTGCTTCTACTACCTTGTGATGTTCAGGTCTTGCTGTTGGAGGAGGGCTAAGTTCTGGTGATGCTGTATTGCTCTTTATGTTGTTGTATGTACTTCTGCCTTGATGTCTGCCCATCTCCTCCAATCTCTCTAGGTCCGGATAGAGCTGGGGGTTGGTTTCCAAGCCTCAGGAAGTGGCCGGGGTCTCCACCAGATGGGAGTAGGGGCAGAGTGTGTAGATTGCAGGGTCTGCTGCTCAGGGGTCTTGGTGAACAGGGAGCCTTCCAGCAGGAGCCCTGCCTGCTGGCCAGCAACTGGGGCCGAGTTGGGCGGGTGTTTCCAGGCAAGGGATGGGGCCCAGGAATGGGTCCTAAGGGTGGGCCTCACTGGGTATCAACGGAAGCCTTCTTTTTTTTTTTTTTTTTTTAAAGATTTATTTATTTATTTGTTTATTTGTTTATTTATTTATTTTGTATACAGTGTTCTGTTTGCATGTATCCCTGCAGGCCAGAAGAGGGGAGCCAGATCTCATTACAGATGGTTGTGAGCCACCGTGTGGGTGCTGGGAATTGAACTCAGGACCTCTGGAAGAACAGCCAGTGCTCTTAACCTCTGAGCCATCTCTCCAGCCCAATGGAAGCTTTCTTAAAGGGCTCAGAATGTGCCCTTTCCAACATTTGGTGTGATTATTTAAATTTGTATTTAGAAGTTATGCACATACATACACACACACACACACACACACACACACACACACAGAGGTATAATATTTGATTCATTTTTTTGAGACAGGGTCTCACTTTGTAATCCAGTAATTTCAAATTTGTAATCTTCCTGCCATAGCCTCTCAGGTGCTGGCATGACAGGTATCTACCACTGTGCACAAAAGATAATTTATAAAGCTCATTATTATGAAAATTATTGATAAAGAGAAAAGTCATTCCCCTTAGCTTTGAGTGTTTGATATTTTCATGGTTGAAGTTTCTTGTTATCATTCTGAAGATATTAATAATAGTTACTTTTTAAAGAAGTTTTCTTAGATTTACATAGTCTCTGGTTTGTCTAAGTTTTTTTTTTTTCCCCTAAGTTTTTTTTTTTTTTTGCTGTGTTTGCTCACTGTATTTTTGGTAAGAAACTTTCTGTGGGAGGCCATGGGAGTCCAGCTTCTACCTTTCCTACCTTTCTAGTTCTTAAGAGAGAGGGAGAAGAAATATTAGGTAAAGAGAGACCTAGTTGATGAGAAGAAAGACAGAAACACAGGATAGCTTCAGGAGGGCCTGAAGCACTACCCAGTGGCCTTGAAGGTTTATTCAAAAGGCTTTTTATAACATACCAAGGGAGAGGCAAAAGATTCCCCCTTGCTAGATCAGAACACATCGTACAGCCAAGTGTAGACCCTTCCAAACACCTGGTAAACACGCCTGTGGCCAAATCATCTCCTAATGCAGCCCTGCTGGGTAAAGCAAGCTCAGATTCTCTAACCTTGAGTAATCTGGGCCTCTACATCTTTCCTTGGAAGTCTAGTGCTATTGGCTGGACAAATATTCGGGACTAGGTCATTAAACATTGATGTCAGTCTGTGCATATGCGTGGGGTTGACTGCAGGTTTGGACTGTTTCTTAGGGGAATCCATTAAGTCATGGTCATGCTCCTGGCGGGGGGGCGGGATTTATAGTAGCATCATCATCCGTCCGTCGTCTGCTTCAGGTCCCCCCCCCATGTGCCTCCCACACTTGGCTCTGTCTTCAATTCTTGGAGGTACATACCTAAGGGTGGAATAGCAGGGACCTATGCTAATTTTGTTTGTTTTGAGGAAGTTACCAACGGTTTTCCCTGGCTTGGGTTTTAATAGGATCTTTCTATTCTCCCCTATTGAAAATAGAGTGAGAAGGATGAGGGTGAAGGCTGGAGAGCAGTTGAAGCTATTGTAATCCAAAGAGATGTGAGAATGGCCCAGGTCAGATAGTAGCTGTGGACGTGGTCTGGGTTCAGATCTCCTTCCAGATGGGATAGAGAGACCAGGAGGCCAACACGATTCCAGTAGTTTCAGAGCTAGAGATCCCAGGAGGTAGCGCAGGTTTGGAGTCCAGGATAAATTCACATATTTTGAGATCCTAATTAGATACCCAAATGAAGATTGTGAGTAGGAAGTTAGAAATACAAGTTTGTAATGGGAGAGGTTTGGGTTAGAGCCCAAAGTTGGGCAGTAGTTAGCCTATAGAATATAATTTAAAGCATCAAGGGAGAGAATTAGATGAGAATAGAGAACTGAGTAGGACTGAATCTTGGGGAGCTTTGATATAGAGTAGGTCGGACTGGGAATGTCTCACTGTGAGAGGATCTGCTTAGTGTACCTGAGGCTTTGGGTTGGTCCTTCACACCAGCGAAAAGGGGGCGGGGCATGAGAGGGAGGAGAGAGAGTTAGATGGGTAAATCGATTAGGGAGAAGAGAACTATCTAGTCATGTCTAGAAGAAAGTGTAGGACAGCATGTTGAAGGCAGGTGGAAAAACATGTGCAGGTTGAGTGTTCATGCCTATAAGTTGTCTCATTAGCTCTTCATTTCTTCTTTTTAAAGGTTTCTTTCTTTTGCTCTACAATAGGGAGGAAGGTTAGTCTGGCTGAGAAAGAGGCCTATTACAGTCAGAGTCCTCAGGAGTTCACAGTTAGTGTCTGTAACGGGAATGCTTATGTCAGATTGAGTTTGGCGCTTGGATGCAGCCATGTGCTGGTGTTAAAGAGGGTAGAAGTGGTCACATTTGTATTGAATTTCCTTTTGACATCTCCTCTTCTTTTTTGTAGAAAATTTGCTGGAAATCACATTGTTCAAACACAGTTAATGAATGACTTGTTGGTGGGCATTAGAGTTTCAATGACATTAGTACAGAAAGTACCAAATCCCGAGGGCCATCTTTGGAGTGATTCTAACTTTCTCATCTGGCGTACTATGTGTGGCTTGCTAAGCATTTTCACCGACTTTTTAAATGACGGTAAGTGTGACAAAATGATGATCATAACTGCATGCCAGTCTGTTTAACCTATGGAGAAAGGACCTGAACTACATGATTTTAATGCTTGTTTTGTGTTTTTCAAATGTATGAGTTCAGCAAGGGAGGTTGAACAACTTTTCCCAGGTTGTGTGTGTATGTGTGTATGTCAGCATGTTTATTGTGTATAAAGGAGAAACACATTCAATACTCTCATTGTTAGAAAGCCACAGACTTTAGAAAATTCTTTAGAAGCAGTTACCAAATTTAAGAAAGACTTAGAAAGATGAGTTGAATTCTTATTAGTATTATATTCAAATAATGACAATAGTTGTTGATTATGAGCCTGGTTGCCTAATTCCTCCCAATATCTCTTCTGTCCATGAGAACTATACCACTAGGAAGCTAAGTTGAAGAAAAGAAATTTCTCTTCATGAGAGTATTTCAATTAATAAATTAAAATGAAGTAACATGATAGACTTCTTGTAATACCCAGTGATTGATGTAGGTGGCATTAAGCACCAATAATCACAGAAACAAAACCAGATAAAATGTGCCTCTTAGATTCTTGTAGCTACTACCTGCCATCTTCTGAAGGGATTGAATTTGAGAGTGATGCTGTCTCTAGGTTAGCTGCCAGTTGGCAGGAATCAGGACTGCATTGGATTAGGACAGAGGATCTACCAGGAATAAACAAACACAGTATCCTTGTTGAAGAACTGCAAGTCAGATGGGCCAGAGTTCCTCATCAGAGAATTATAACAGAGAGAGGCGGGGTGCTTGTACTGTAAGATCTGTAGAAGATCTTTAAAAAGTCTAGAAATGCACACTCACTTGTTAATGCTGTTGAAGAATATAAGGAAGTCATTACTGGGGAAGTTGTAATAGTGTTTACTCAGAGTCTGAAAGGGCATTCTGGTTGGGGTGAGGTATATGGGATGAGGTACATGGGTAAGTCTTTGGGGCTGGAAGCTAAGTTCTATAATTTATTTAACTGTTTATGTATATATAAAATCTTTGTTAAACAAAGGAGTTTCATAGTATTTTAAGTATTACAGAAAAGGTTAAATTGTCATTTCTCGCCATCTGCTATTCTGTGTAGTAATATATATATATATATATATATATATATATATATATATATATATGAATTTAACTTAAATAAAAACACAATTAAAAAATAAATGAACAACAACAACAACAAAAAAAAACAAAAAACCCAAGGGGCTGTAGAGATGTCTCTGTAGTTAAGAGCACTGGCCACTCTTCGAGAGGACCTGAGTTCAGTTGCCAGCACCCACTTGGTGGCTCAAAACCGTCTATAACACCAGTTCCGGGGATCTGACATCCTCTTGTGCTTTCTTGGACACTGTGTGCACAAGGTGCACAGACACACATGCAGGCAAAACAGCCACACACACAGAGTTTTAAAACATGAAGACATTGGCTGGACAAGATGTCTCAGTGGGTAGACTTTGACACCAGGCCAGATGACCTGAGCTTGATGCCTCATCTCTGGAACTCACATGGTGGCAGAGACTGGAGTACTATAAGTTGTCCTTTGACCTGCACAGACAGACAGACAGACACACACACACACACCATACCACACAAAAAACATTATGGAGCCCTGTTTAGAACTCTTGTTTGTAAGAAATGATGATTTACTCTGCCTTTGCTGGGATAATTGTTTTAACATTGGTAACTAGGAAAAATTACCTTGGACTTTTAGGAATTTAAAAGAAATTAAATTAGTTACTTTAAAAAAATAAGAAATTTTAATGTATGTGTTTCTGTCTCTGAGTATGTGCACATGGGTTCCTGGAGGAGGCCAGAAGAGGGTGTCTGATCCCCTGGAGTTAGACTTGTAAGTGCTTGTGAACCATCCAGTGTAGGTGCTGGGAACTAAACTTGGGTCCTCTGCAAGAGCACCAAGCACCTTAACCTCTGAGCCATCTCTCCAGACCCTAATTAGTTACTTTCATCAAGACAGAATTTATAGACAACTTTTCAGAGGATATTTACCATTTTTAAAAGGAGAATTTAGAAATCTGAAAAGTAAAAGACTTTGGTGAAATACAGAGAAGAAAATTTAAAAATTTATTTTATTTTTATGTATATGTGTGTGGTTATATGAGTTTGTGTATACCATGTGAATTTAGGTGCCTGTGGTGGCTAGACCAGGGCAGCAGGTCCCCCTGGAACCAGGCTTATAAATGGTTGTGAGCCTCCATGTGGATGCTGGGAAATGAACCTGGATCCTCTGTAAGGGGAGCAAGTACTCTAGACTGCTGAGTCATCTCTAGTCCAGACACAAGTTTAATGAGACGTGATTTTCTGAAAAGTTGATGGCGCTTCATCAGTGCCATTCTTAAGTAGTTAAAGCTTTTTGTGTTAGTAAGTATTTAACTGTGAGTAACAGAAAACTGTCATCAAGTTTAGAGGCAGATGACCGAGAGCTACTGCCACCAATGTAGGACCCAGCACTGCCTTTCTGCTGTGGTATTTTTATTATGTTGGTGTCTTCCCATGTGTCTACTGCCTCCTGTTGGCACCTGTCTGCTGTAGCTACAGGCATCATGTGTTTGTTCAAGGCAAGAGGAAGGGCCTTGCGTTTTTCTCTCTCCCTTTCTTTCTTTTCTTTCTTTTTTCCCCCTCCCTCCCTCCCTCCCTCCCTCCCTCTCTCCCTCCCTCCCTCCCTCTCTCCCTCCCTTCCTCCCTTCCTCCCTTCCTCCCTTCCTCCCTTCCTCTCGCTCTCTCTTTTTTTTCTTTCTTCTTTTCTTTTTTTTTTTTTGGTTTTTCGAGACAGGGTTTCTCTGTAGTTTTGCGCCTTTCCTGGAACTCACTTTGTAGACCAGGCTGGCCTCGAACTCACAGAGATCCTCTGCCTCTGCCTCCCGAGTGCTGGGATTAAAGGCGTGTGCCACCACCGCCCGGCTTCTTCTTCTTATTTTTTAATGTATTAGGCTCTATACATGTACCTGAATGCCAGAAGAGGGCATCCGATCCTATTATAGATGGTTGTGAGCCAGCATGTGGTTGCTGGGAATTGAACCTCTGGAAGAGCAGCCAGTTCTCTTAAATGCTGATCCATCTCTCCAGCCCAAGGGCCTTGCATCGTAATCAGAAAAACTAATAGATCTAAGGGACTTCTGCATATAGCTCATTGGCCTGAACCCCTCCAGTGGCTGTCTTTAGTTTCAAGGAAGATTGTAGGAGGAAGAATCTTGCTTTTGGCTAAGCATATGGCTACCCAAAGTCAGTTTTGTTCCCAGAGATGGAGGGCAAAGTGGATATTTAATAGTTAACTTAAGGTGTCTGTCATACTTCTTAGTCTGAGTTGAGTAATTCACATTACTGGAGGCTAATGTATATGCAAACAAAAAGAAGATAGCGAATCAAAATTGTCTGGTCACTTTGAGTGCTATGCTAGCAAGGTTTCTAATTGGCATTGGTGTGGATTTTTTTTCACATAGCACTTCAGAGCTCTCTGAGGACAATTGTTCATGGAGTGGGCATCCAAAGGCATCACTGTCAGGAGGGAGGTGGCGGTGTTGCTGGGTATGCTAGTGGCATAGATGTCGGATGAGTGTAAGATGTTGGACAAGAGAGGAGGGAAGCTCATTCACTGAATATGTGCTGGGCTTAGCCTTTCTCTTCATTTTCTTTTAAACTTTATGACAACTTTTCTGGTATGGGTTATTTCTCTCTCTCTCTCTCTCTCTCTCTCTCTCTCTCTCTCTCTCTCTCTCTCTTTTTTAAAGAAAGCTGAGTTCCTGGGAGGTTAAGTAACCTGTCTGGGATCTTGTCACCTGGGAAATGGTCAAGCTGGAGCTATCTAGGCCTCTCTGACCCAAAGCACTTGTTCTTTGTAGCACACCAGACTCTCCATCTTTAATACATGATGACTGCTTCCCCCTCCCCTAATAGGTGACCTACTGCAGACTGTTCAGAGCACGTCGGGATTAGCTGTTATTCTTTTTGTGAAGAACATGTTCTGTCCATCTGAAAAACTTCCTGAGTTGGTGAGTGTATCTGCTTTTTAGAACTTCCCTTCACCGAGAATTAGATGGATATCAATTTGGTTTAATTTAAATATTTTATTGATTATTATTTATGTCACAGTGTATGTGTGGAGGTCAGAGGACAACTTGTGGTAGGTGATTCTCTTCTTCTACTGCATGGATCCTGGGGATCAAACTGAGGTGGTTAAACTTGACATGGTTTTACCCACTCAACTATTTCACTGGCCCCTCAATGTTTCAACTGCAGTAGCTGAATTTTAGAATGTTTATTTGGTGTAGTTGGGATTTTTCTAGTGGCTCTTTTCTCTTAGAATGATAATTCTAAGTACACAGACGACATGGTGGCGGGATGATGACAGGGCAGTCACAGCTGTCTGTAAGTCAGTTTTGCCCAGGTAACCACTGTCACCGTTTGTTGACTCCCCCCCTAGTTTTTGTGGGGCTGTCTTTTCGGTTCCGTGTGTCGGTGTGGTAAGAGATAGGACATTACAGCTATGCCGTGACTGGTGTGTAAACACATGGTAGCAACTTTCTGATAGGTTTGTTTTTCTTTATTAAGAACAGACTTTGTAATATACTTAATCATACTTTATCATGTAATATAAGAGGCATGTTTGGGTCAATTTTTAGTGAATTTGGTCCCTAAGGAAAGTGTAATTTAGTAATGTAGACCATAGTCTTTGTATTGGCTGCTAGCATTCTTCCCTCCTCTCAGTATATTATCTAGAAACTCATTTTGTCTAACATCTGTGTATTCTGAGATCATGCAAAATGATTATTCTTGTGTGAGACTGAATTTTTTTCTCAGAGCTCCTCTAAAAGCATCCTCTGTCCATCTGCAGGTAGTGACCTTTGTGTTTCTCCAGTACTTTCATCTCAGCAGAAAGATTCATGTGCTTAGAGTTCATTGTTTTCCTTCTAAAGTTAGTATAATGATGTTAGTGTTTGTGTTTTACATTACTTTTCCTAGACTATTTCAGGAAATATTTCAAGGGAGAGATTTGTAGGTTTTGTATTTAAGATATTTATATATTATTCCCTCTGTTGTTTTCCAGATCAGCAGCCTGCTTCTCCAGTCAGTTGACTGCAGCAGCACCCCTGAGTGGTTCATGAACTGCTGTGGAAGCCTTTGCAGTGCTGACATGCCAGTCTCCACGCTGTTGTTCCTGTGTCACGGAGCGCTTGCAATGCTGGACTGGCAGGATGGGAGCATGGGCCTGAGCGGGGAGGCTTTGCTCCTGGACACTGTGCATGTTTTATTTACCTTGACTTCACAGTGAGTTTGTTTTTTTTATCCCGTATTTTGTTTTGCTTCTAAGACAGTTGAAGGACACAACTGAGCCAACCAAGTCAATTCAATTAAATGTGGTTAGGATGAATCCTAAATTACGATTGATAGACGAGAATAAAATAGGCATGAGAGAAAAGACAGTAATGAGAAACAGTCATAGAAATTACTGGTGCAGGCCAACCTACTGAGCGCCAGTAGAGGGCACTAGATCTCATTGTAGATGGTTGTGAGCCACCTTGTGGGTACTGGGAATTGAACTCAGGACCCCTGTAAGAACAGCCAGTGCCTTGACTTCTGAGCCATCTCTCCAGCCCCTGCAATACATTTTTTTTTTTTAAAGTCAGACCATGAATATAGCCTTATAAGCATTACTATTAAAATAAGCAAAAAGCTCTAAAATAATTTTTACAAGTTGGAGATATAATTCACGTACTATAAATTCACAAATGTAAAGTGCACAATTGTGTTTCTTTTAGTATGTTTATGGACTTGCACAACCATCTCACAGTCAACCTCAGAGTGCTTCTTGGTCGTGGTGGTACACTTGGGAGGCAGAGGCAACAAGATGAGTGTAGCCTAGGTAGCCTAGTGAGACCTTTTCTCAAAATAAATTTTCATCATCCTAAAACGGCAGACACCCAAAGACCAAAACATGATTCTCCAGCCTTTCCCAGCTGGGCCCATGAGAAGTGAGGAAGCTACTTCAGGGTAGGAGTACTTGCTCTACAAGTGTGTGGACCTGCGTTCAAATCCCAAACACCGCATGGGCCTTTAACCCCAGCATTAGCAAGGTCAGGTAAATCCGGGAGCTCTCTGGTCGGCCATCTTAGCTGAAGTAGCCGGCTTGTAGTTCAGTAAGAGACCCTGTCTCAAGGAAGTAAGATAAAGAGCTATAGAAAAAGACACCTGGTGTCTTCTGGTCTCTGTGCATGCATCCCCACACTCACTTGAATGCATATCTCTGTCTGTCTGTCTGTCTGTCTCTCTCTCTGTCACATACACACACACTAAATTTAAAATATCCATGAAACCATCACAGTAAAGATAGTGAATACTTCACTTACTCCTAAAGGTTTCCATGTATTCATTTTTTATTTTTTGTAAGGTAAAAAGATTGAAAATTTGTCTTTTAAGTTTGGCCTTATTTATAATTTTGTTGTTGTGAATTTCACTGAGTTTTCTGTTCATTCTTTGTATTTAAAAGTCGTGATGTTTGTCTAATTTCTTTTCCTAGGCAATTCATAATAATATATGTCATGGTTTATTTTTCTCCAGGATTAAGGAGTCAACATTAGAAATGTTCCTGTCTAGAGTCTTGGCATCTTGGACCAATTCAGCCTTACATGTCCTTGAATCAAGTTCCCCAAGTCTAAAGGACTGTCTGAATGGGGGTTCAAGCATAGCTAGGAGGCTTTTGGAATATGTCTATACACACTGGGAACATCCATTGGATGCTCTGAGACACCAAACCAAAATCATATTCAGAAATCTTCTGCAAATGCACCGGCTCACTACGGAAGGGAAGGATGTAGTCACTGACCCGTTCTTTGTGGAACTGACCAAGAGTCTTCTGCAGTTAGAATGGCATATTAAAGGGAAGTACGCATGCCTTGGCTGTTTGGTTGAGAGTACTGGAATTGAACATATTTTGGCAATAGATAAAACGATTCCATCTCAAATCCTAGAGGTGATGGGAGACCAGTCATTGGTACCTTATGCAAGTGACCTTTTGGAAACCATGTTTAAAAATCATAGGAGCCATTTGAAATCCCAAACTGTCACCAACACTTGGATGGATGAGTGGCATGAGACGTGGGTTTCTCCTCTCCTTTCTATACTGTGTGGAGGGAACTTGGATCAGAAATCGTATGTGATCGATTATTATTTGCCAAGGTTACTGAATTACAGCCCTGAAAGCCTGCAGTACATGGTGAAGATTCTTCAGGCATCTATTGACACTGAAACTGGTGAGAAATAGTTTCTTAGTAATTTCTATTTAGGATACTTAACTGTAGGTCCCTGTGCAGATGCTTGTCATGCCCTGCTATAAGTGGTACAGAATGCTATCAATGACAGCCACTTGAGATTGAAACAGATTGGACTTTCAATAGCTGAGTGATGGTTTTGGTTGAATTAGTTTCACCAAACAAAGAATGATTCCAGTTATAAAGTTTTGTTTTTTAAAAGATTGATATTTTTTTGTTTTGTTTTGTTTTGAGACAGGGTTTCTCTGTGTAGCTTTGTGCCTTTCCTGGAACTCACTCTGTAGCCCAGGCTGGCCTTGAACTCACAGAGATCCGCCTGCTTCTGCCTCACGAGTGCTGAGATTAAAGGCGTGCGCCACCACCTCTCTTCAAAAGATTGATTTTTATGTGTATGAGTGGTGTGCTTACCTGTCTAGTGTCTACATGGATAACACATGTGTGTCTCATGCCTTTTGAGGTTAGAACAGGGCATTGGATCTCTTGGAATGGAGTTACGGATAGTTGTGAGCTGCCATGTAGGTACTGGGAATTGAACCTGTATACTCTGGGAGAGCAGCCAGGGCTCTTCATTACAAAGCAGTCTGCTCCAGCGCCTAGTTACAAGGTTTTAATTTATTTTTTTGTTCTCAAACTAGAGTAACGGTGTATGTATTTTATATAATTTTCTTATCCAGGTGATTAAGATAGCAATTGAAATTGCTTTAGGCAGGCTTAATAAAAACAGGTGAGTTTTCCACAACTTAAAAAAAAAAGAACTAGAGCTAGGCGATGGTGGCATATGCCTTTAATCCCCCCCTCAGGAGGCAGAGGCAGGTGGATCTCTGTGAGTTCAAGGCCAGCCTGGTCTACAAAGCGAGTTCCAGGACAGCCAGGGTTACACAGAGAAACCCTATCTTGAAAAACCCAAAACGAAGAAGAAAAAAAAGAACTATGTAGTGATTTAGAATACGAGGAACATCCCACTGAAACCCGGGAGTCCTTAAGGAATCATGGTTTATAATGAATGTGTGGCCATATGTGGTGGTATATGTCTCTAATTCCAGCACTTGGGAGATAGATACAGGAGGATTGCTTCCAGTTAAAGGCCAGTTTAGTATACATAGTGAGTTCCAGGTAGGTCATGACTGCATGATACTCTCTAAATACATAGATACATAGATTGAAAATGAATATAAAATGTTAACCCTGAACATAGAAGTCTAAAAATTTTTTAACTTGATTCTAAGAGGAAATTTTGATTTCTGTACACAAAAACTATGTGTTATTTGATAATCTTTAATAGTTGTTCTTGCATTTTGAGAGACCAGCTGAGGCTATGGCTTTGTGAAGCTGTCCTGATGTTAGCGTGTGTTTGTTCTGGGTAAGGTGTCCTGAGAGCCTCAGTTTCTTGTGCTGTTTCAGAGCACAGCTTTCTGGAGGCTGATGTTCTGCTGAAATCAGGAGGTCTTTGTGGACCACATTTTATGTTCGTTATAAATGAGAACAGCTCCAAAATACATGTGGAGGGTCAATGTTTATTTTCAAGAAAAAAATAATCTTTGAACTAGTACACTGTTTCTACTACTCTTGTATAATGGTTTTAACTTTTTTCTATTTGATGTTTTTCCTCTAATTCACATAATGGTGGATTTCTTTAAGTTTTAAGACCAAAAGTAAAATTATTAGAGAATAAGTTATGATTTCTTTATAATAAGATAATTACGTTTATTTGAAATTATTGGCATGAACAGTTATATTCAGTCATTTTTATTTTAGAATAAGCACTTTAATTCGTCTTAGAATTTAGTTAAAATTTAATATTAATTGGAACATAGAAGTTGGCATGTCATAGTCATTGCATAGCACAGGAATGGTCTTTGCTATTGTGCCTTTAAGACAAGAACAGTTTTTCCCTCTTAGGGTCTTGTAACCGCAGAGGGGCTCTGGGAGCTTTGATGGCATGTCTACGAACAGCTAGAGCTCATGGACATCTTCAGTCTGCAACTCATGCCTGGGAGAACCTTGTGTGCGGTGCACGGATAAAGCAAGGCTTAATTCACCAACACTGCCAAGTAAGGAACTTTCTGTTGCACACATTAGTCCCTGATAACCTGATTGCTTTAGGAGTCCTGCTAGCGGCTAAATTGTAGGGGAGTCCATTATGATAGTAGACAGTGGCATCCTTGTACTTAGTCTATGCAGTGTCTAGTTGGGGAGCATGAACAGCTTACATCAAGAACTTGCAGCTCTGAGGGACAGCCTAGGTGTCAGTATGCCTTGGTAAGGGGCTTTATCTGGAAGGCTTAGCAGAGCCTGATCAGTGTAGGTGGTGGCTGGTTAGGAAATGGAGTGTTAGAACAGCACACAGAATGGAAGCCAAGTTCATGTTTGGGAAAGCTCTGATGCTAGACTGATGATGTCATTGGTTGCCAGTTACCAATTGCGTGGGCTTGTTCATTGTTGTCAGTGGAGTCAGAGATGAAATTAGGAGCAAAAGGAAGCCAGGAGACAGGCTAGTGTGGGCTAGATGTGAGCTGTGAAGGCCTGGAGTGAGGTAACCCTGAGAAGAAAAGAGAGGTTGTAGCTGAGTGCTATGTAAATAAGGCTTTGGCTTGTGAATGTACATAGCCTCAGTTTATACATGTAGGGACAGTTTTATAAAAAGTTAACTCAAGGTGCTTTGGATTAAGAAACCTTTCTGAGATATATGTGGTCAACATGCAGTTTACTTTTTTCCTTGGTAGCTTACACAGATATCATGTTGGAAGTAGTCTAGGCTTTTCTTACTTCATGGGAAAACTAACCTTTTATTGTTTGGTGTGTTTTAGGTGCGGATCGATACACTAGGCTTGCTCTGTGAAAGCAATCGGAGCACAGAAGTGGTCTCTACAGAAGAAATGGAGTGGGTTCAGTTCTTTATCACATACAATCTCAACAGCCAGTCTCCAGGGGAGCGGCAGCAGATTTGCTCGCTCCTTAAAAAGGTAGACTTTTTCTTCAGAGTGAGAAAGTAATAATTGCTCTGGAAATGGTTTTTTGAGAAGGTTCCAGATTTGGGGCAAGTGTGGAGTGGTTGTGGTATTGGGCTACCACATGACTGCATGGCTCCAGCATCTTGCCCTGAGTTCAGCAATCTTACATGTGGGATTAAAATGCCACACAGGGCCAGGCAGTGCTGATGCACATCTTTAATCCCAACACTTGGGAGACAGAGGCAGGCGGATCTCTGTGAGTACACGGCCAGCCTGGTCTACAGAGCGAGATCCAGGACAGCCAGGGCTACACAGAGAATCCCTATTTCATTCAAACCGCCCCCCCCCCCCCCCAAATAAAAACTCTGACCTCTTTAAAAGTATTATTTTAAAACATTTTATTCAATTATTTAGGGGACAGGCGTGAATATTGGGGTACAGTTATGGAGGTCAGAAAGCAGTTTGCAGGAGTTGGTTCTCTCCATCTGCTGCCTGGGAGAAGACTTAGGTCATCAGGCTTGGTGGCAGACACCCTTACTCAGCCATCTCACCAGCCCAGGCTCTTTTTTGGAAAGAAAACAAAAAAAAAAAGTCCAGCATTGGGGTTCTTGGAGCGTGGGCGGTTTGAAGAGCGTGTTGGTGACGGGGGAAGGAAGCACTTGGTTCGTAAGCACCTCAGGGAATGGCAATTTCATGGGTAATTCATCTCGAATCATTTGTGTAATGCATCTGTGGTAGGGAATTGGTAAGGTAGAGAAATGACTGTATTACCTTCAGGGTCACACCAGTTTAAAGGAAATGGGAAAACTGCTTTGATTGTTGTTTTTGGTAAAACTATGAAATGTTAATTTTATGTCAGAAAGAAACTGCAGATTTTAAGATTTGAGAACCCAGGTCCTCCATTCGTCTTAAGTTATCCCTGCAGACTGATGTTATACTGTGTGGTTCACATACTTTTTTAAAAAAAATGTCTTTTTCTCCTTAAAAGTTGTTCTGTAGGATACAAGAAAGTTCTCAGGTACTTTATAAGTTGGAGCAAAGGCAGTCCCCCTCTGACTCAGAGAGCGAGTGCAGCAGAGAGAGGCCTCCCGTGTCTTTACAGCCGTATAAGGTAGGTGATGTGCTGGACACACAGGGCTGCCCAAACCAAACACTGTGAATAAGCACCGGAGGGCAACAGCCAGATCTCTGATGACTCGTGACTTGGTGCTTTTCCCTTGTCATGCTGGGTGTTACATAGTCCTTCTGGACCTGGGTACTCCACTGGAGGTAGCCTGGGGTGTGGAACCAGAGCAGTACTTGAGGACTTGAGTGACACAGTGACATACCTGGGGTCACCTCAGTAGCTTACTTCTTGTGGGGCCAGTTTACTTATTCCTGACCTTTGCTTAGTTGGTACCTCCAAAGTCCACCTCTTCACAGGGCAGAAGACTCTGCTGCAGCTGTGGCTGTGTGTGACCCCACGGAGAGAACATTTGTGTATGTGGTCATGAGTGCATGTGTGTGGATGGCAGAGGTAGATAGAAAGTACCTTTCTTGATCACTTTCCACCTTACTTTTTGACCCTGGAGTTTGTTGATTCAGCTACTGGTTGGCAGCAAGCTGTAAGCATCCCTTAGTCTCTGTGGTCCAGGACTGAGCTCGCAGGTGTGCACTGTAACCCTGGGCTTTGGTGTAGGGATTCAGCTCTGGTCTTCATGTTTGTATAACAAGCACTGTACCCACCTGCCCATCTTCCCACCTTCCTGTTTTTAGGTCATCTAGGGCTACATGTGAGCTCTGTCTCAAAATCAAACAATCAAATAAACAATCAAATAAACCTCAAATAAACCTACAAATAAACCTCAAAATCACCAAAACAAACAAACAAACAAACAAAAATCCCCAACAACTTGGTTTTGAGGGTTAAATGAGAAAACCCTTTGTAAACACTCATTGAGGGCTGAGGAGATGGCTCATCAGGGCTTGCTGCTAGGCCTAATATCTTCAGTTCCATACCTGGAATCCATGTTGAGAAAGTCTACTCCTGAAAATTGTCATCTGATCTCCACATGGGCACAGTGGCATTTGGTGCTCACATACAAATACATGCATAATAAATAAAATAATAAAAATAAAAAGTTTTGGGGTGGTGGCACATGCCTTTAATCCCAGCACTTGGGAGGCAGAGGCAGGTGGATCTCTGCGAGTTCAAGGCCAGCCTGGTCTACAAAGCGAGATCCAGGACAGGTACCAAAACTACACAGAGAAACCCTGTCTTGAAAAGAAAAAAGAAAAAAAAAAAAGTCTCACTAGAAGCCATTGAGAGTGGTTTAGAGTGTATATGGAGCCCTGCCCTGTGTGTGAGAGTAAGTGTGATATGTATTGGCCTCTCTTAGATCATTGCTGGATTTGAGGGTGCATATCTCCTTTGCCTCTTAATGAAAGGAGTGACATGGCATTCATGAAATGTCACTTAACCACTTAGGGACATAAAAGTCTACTGTGTGGATTGAGAGTCTAGATTTTCACAAAAGCTTTTGTTTTGGTTTTGGCTTAGATACTCCTTTTTTCTCTCTTGAGACAAAGTCTTACTGTGTAGCCCAGGCTAGCCTTAAACTGTATCCTCCTGTCTTAGTTTTCTCAGAGCTATGAGTGTAGTCATACATATCATGCCCAACAGATAGGCATTTTTTTTGAACAATAGAGACTTAATCGAAGTCAATCTTGTGGTTATGATCATTTCTTATAACTTAACAGTCTGTGGCTTTGGGAGGTTATGACCTTTGCTCTGTGTTACCATCATCCTTCCAGTGGGTGCCATGCAGTGTGTGATAGACAGGCCCAGTGCCAATTACAGACCAAGTGCCGAGGGAGAAGGGAGGCTGTTAGTTGATAAAGATGTCTGTTAGGGTACTGGAGCTATTTCTTACCTAAATAACCGATGCTAATGTCCAGAGTACTTTTAAACTTAGCAAACACTGTGTACCTATGTTTTCCTTTACTCTTTTATAACAAGGCTGTGGGTTAAGCACTCTTATCCCACTGTAACAAGTGAGAAAACTGAAACTCAAAATGTTGAGTGACCTTAGCCACGAGTGTAGAGCCAGTCAGTACCCCAGGCTAGACTTGCTCCTGACTGGAAACGCCCCACCTAAGGGGGCTGGTAGATGAGCGATAGGAGGACTTGGAGAACTGAACTCACTTGTGAGTAAGCATGGCACATGGAAGGCAGGAGGGGAGTGACAGGAACCAACTGTGGAAATGGGTGGAGAGAGTGCCTATAGTGATTATGGTATTTGGAAATCTTACTAGGAACCGTAAGTTAGCTAGGGCCTGGGCTGGGGATGGTGTTCAGTCGGTAGAGTGCTTTCTTAGCCTGCAGAAAGCCCGTGTGGGATCCCAGCCTGGGTGTGGGCTCCATCATGTGGAAATGTGGGATCTGTAAACTGGGTGTGGTGGCACATACCTGCTGTCTCAGCATTTATAAAGTGGAAGCAGGAGAATCAGAAATTGAAGGTCACCCTCTGCTGCATAGCAAGTTAGATGTTTTTATAAATCGTATCACAGTCTATTTAGTAGTCTGTATTGGCTATTTCTCTGTTTACTCTAAAACTTGGGAAAGCTGCATACCCCTGATGCCCGAAGACTTGTGTCTGGAGAAGTGAGGATTCATCAAGCCCTGGCACAGACAGGGCCCAAACAGATCTTGTTGTTTTATCGCTGAGTCTGTGAAGACAGGGTTCAGTAAGGTCCTGATGCAGTTTGTACCCTGAGTCCTGCCCGTGTTGTGTTGCTGTGTCAGATGCCCGGGGAGGGTACTGTGGAAAGTTGTGAGGAGGTTATGAAGAAGGATGTGAGTGGCTGCAAAGATCCACCAGCAGAGGTGAGGTCTCCCTGGCCATGCCGTGAGATCGCAGAGTGGTGGGCGCAGTGTGGGAGGAGCATGTGTTTAGGAGTGAAGGCAAGAGAGCAAGTGAGAAAATAAACCTGTAGTGGAACAGCCGTTCCCATGGGAACCAATAGTTTAAAAGTAACCTGATTCACTCCTGACAGAACTAATCAGTTCCTAGGGGTGGAGTACCCTAGACCTAATTCCTTCCACCAGGCCTTGCCTCTTAACTTTCATACTGTCCCACTGGGGGTCAAACTTGAAGCATGTGGGTCTCTAGGGGATAAACTGTCCAAACTCCAGTAGGTGTCAAGCTGAATAATCAAACAGCTAGGACAGCTTCAAAGAGTCTTAACTCTTTAGTTAAATGGAACAGAAGCACTTACTAACTGCCAGTTAACTTAATTATACTTAATTGTATTTTATTTTTAATTTTAGAATTTCATGTCATCTGTTTGCAACATCCTTTTTGAAGCATTGTTTCCTGGATCTTCCTACTCAACTAGGTTTTCAGCTTTAAGCATTTTAGGATCAGTAGCTGAAGTGTTCCCTGTCTCAGAAGGTAAGCTTCAACAATGTGCGGGAAGCATACAGTTGGTCAGCATTTTGTTGTCTTTCTATAGATTTCTTTTAACACATAGCTCTCATTTGGACCTAATTAAAGCTGCTAGTAAAGGTAGATGGGAAAGAACCTATCTCCTCTTTTTGTTGGTCACTGTCTGCGAAACACATTGCCATGTTTCATGGATCATCTTGACTTACCTCACCAAGATTTCCCGTACCTCAATGCCACATTTGTTTGTGCTGGTATAAGAAAGGGCTTCATCTGTTAAGTTTAAAATGAAAACCATAATACTTTATCTTATATTTAATAAAGAGATGAGTGAGCCTTTGTGGTTAAAGTGTGGTTTCTCATATATACCATCTGCTTGACGATTTCCACACTTTGAGAAATCACATACTGTAGTGCAAACAACATAGCATACCAACAAATTAAATTATCTGCACAAAATGTACAAGTTGATTCCAGGAAAAAAAATATGAAAAAAAAGAACTCTGTAATTAGTAAAGAGATTAAAGCAGTAATCAAAACCTCCTAGCATCTGGGTATGATGATATGTGCTTTTAATTCTAGCACGTGAAGGGCTGAGGCAGGGGGGTCTCAAATTAGAAGCCAACCTGCTCTACCTAGCCAAGACCTTGTCACAAAATGAATAAACAATCAAAAAGTATTCTAGTCCAGGACAAGTGGCTTTGCTGGTAATTCCACCAAATATTTACGGTTATACCTTCTCATAGTCTTTCACAAAATTGAAGAGGAGGGTGACCTCCTGACTCATTCTGTAAAGCTCATTAGAAAAGCAAGTAAGGCTTCGTAGAAGGGCCAGCCAGATGGCTCAGTGGTTTGCTGCCAAGCCTGCCGACCTTCGGTCAGTTCCTAACACCCATGTGGAAGGAGAGAACTAACTCCCCCAGATCACCCTCTGACTTCTCCATGTGCACCATGGCATGTGTGTGCCAAGGTCCCCTTAAATAAATAAATGAAATAAAAAAATTAAAAATAAAGCCTGTGTAAGAAAACTAGACCAATATCTCTTATGAATACATTTGCAGAAAACCTTAAAAAATACTATAGCATCAAAGCTCAGCAGCATATTAAAAATATTGAACACAGGGCTGGAGAGATGGTTAAGATGGTTAAGAGTACTTCCTGCTCTTGTAGAAGACCCAGGTTCTATTCCCCGTACCCACGTGGAAACTCAAAGTCATCCATAACTCTAGCTCCAGGGAATCTTATGCCTCCTTTGACTTCTGTGGGCACTAGGAACGTATGTGGTACACATACATGTATGTAGACAAAACACTCATACACATAAAATAAAAAAAAAAATAACTTAAAAAAATGTATGCAGCTGGGCGGTGGTAGCACATGCGTTAAATCCCAGCACTCAGGAGCAGAGGCAGGTGGATCTTTTTGAGCCTGGTCTACAGAGTGAGTTCTAAGACAACCTGGGCTGTTACACAGAGAAACCTGCCTCTCCCCAAAATAAAGAGAAAACAAAAAGTGTGCATTACAACCATGTGGAATTTATCCCTGGAATTTGGTATGGATCCAAATAAGATCACAGGACATGTCATGCTTGTCATTCTGTGTCAACTGACTCTAAGACTTTGGATCTTGGGTTAGTAAGTTGTTTTTTTTCTTTTTTAATCGAGACAGGGTTTCTCTGTGTGGTTTTGGTGCCTGACCTGGATCTTGCTCTGTAGACCAGGCTGGCCTCAAACTCATAGAGATCCACCTGGGTCTGCCTCATGAGTGCTGGGATTAAAGGCGTGCGCCACTGCTACCCGGCCTGGGTCAGTAAGTTTTTTTTTTTTTTTTTAAGATTTATATTTATTATATGTACATGAATGTTCACCTGCATGTATGTATGTACGTCTTCTGTCTTTCTGGTGCCCACTAAGTCCAGAAGATGGCATTGGATTCCTGGGACTGGAGTTACAGATGGCTGTGAGATACCATGTGGTTACTGGGAACTGAACCTGAGCAGCAAGTGCTCTTAATTAACTACTGAGCCATCTTTCCAGCGCCATGAAGGTTTTTTAAAAACATGTGTTCCTAAATTTATTTGTTCATTTTTATTTTAAAAGTAACTGAGAGATCTTTCATACCTTTTGGAAGAGAATAAAGTGTTTTTAAGTCTTAAAGATGTCTGTTTCATATTTGTAAATCTGTAGTTCTTTTTCATTTGAAGAGATGCAGTGTGTGCTATTTTGCATAGTGTATGCTGTGTAAAGGATGAAGTGAAAGGTTATTGTGGGTAAGCAGGAAGTAGGAATTTTTGTACTGATTTTATATAAATATTTGACCAGATAACTTTGGGTAGTTGATTTTTTTTATTTACTTTTAAGTGATTTTCATTCATTTAAAATTTTAAGGTAACATCCAGACAGTGTATCAGCTGAGTCATGATATTGATGCTGGCCGTTTCCAAATACTAATGGAATGCTTTACTAGTACTTTTGAAGAAGTGAAAACCTTAGCGTTTGGCCTTCTGATGAAGCTGTCGTCAGTAACAGTTGGACAGTTCCAGGTATTTCGACTTTACCTATGTAAATGTGTGTGTTCGTAGAGTTTTTATTTAGCTTAGGGAAAGCAGTCACTTGTCCGAGCTCTTTGCCTCCTTAGGTCTTTTGAGTATTTCTTTCAGTTTCTATCTGTCTCTGGTCTAGCAAGGGCGGGAAATGGTAAAAATCCACATCACTGAGCTGTACTTTTTAAAATTGCTTTGATGGAAATGGAGGTGTAGGAGGCAGTAGGTTTTGCTGTTTACAAGATTATTGGTAGATTTCAGCTATGTGGTCTCCATAGTTCCCTTGGGCTTGTAATATTTGCTCAAAACATATCACTTACAGTAATTTTGAGGTTTTGAAGATAATCTTCCTGATTAGAAGATTGAGAAGCTGAGTGTAAATGAGGTAGAGAATGTGTTTCTGGTCTTCCAATAAGCAATAGCTAAACCGAGACTGAAACCTCAGACTATTTGAGGTTAGCGGCAGTTCTCTGCAGAGGCGCTTGGCCCCAGCCCTCTCCGTGACACTGCTTTTCCTGCCTCGGAGTAGGAAACTAAGATAGGATGAGGAGTACAGGCACAGTGGAGGGCAAGTCTCCAGGGGACACCTAGCCAGGCACCCTTCTCTTCAACTTACTCTGGGGTTGTGGGGTCACCAGGAACGTAGTGGGTGTAGAGCTTCCCTAGAGCCTTCCATTAGCACTCCTCAGAGGCTGAGGGGCCTGAGGGGCTGCAGCTGTTAGGTTATAGGTATATATATATATATACATGTACATATACATGTATAGCCTTCCATCATCTTAGAGATGTGGGATTCCGAGGAGCAGTGCTGGCCAAGACTGCTCTGTGGTGCTGTTTCCAGGTCTTTGGTATGACATCACAGGGTCTCGGTGTCACTGTTCTGACTGGGTACAGGTTAGGAGTGGCTACCCAGGATCTGCCTGTATCTGGAGTGAGCCTTTTATCATTAGCTATGCCTCATTCCTTTCAAATAATTTTTGAGAAGATGTGGAGTGAGAAGGTAAAGTGTAGAAAGAACTGGTTCTTACAGAATCTGTGAAAGGCCCTGAGAGGACCTCTGCATCTTTAATTCCATAAACATGTGCTTGCCATAGAGATACTGTGAGATTTAAGAAATTTCTGCCCCACATGGTATAAGTTAGGATTTTGGTTATAGTATCTGGTCTTGTTGCATGTTAGTCAAGTGGTCATTGACATAAACATTCAAGATTTTAAAATGGGACAGGCAAGATGGCTCAGTAGATAAAAGGTGCTTGTCACCAAGCCTGTGATCTGGGTTTGGTCCCTGACCTCTGCATGGTAGAGGGAGAGAACCAGTTCTTTTAGTTGTCCTCTGACCTCCATGTGAGTGCCATAGTGTGTACACGTCCTTTCGGGGCCTGCTCCCAAATAAATAAATGTAATTTAAATAGAAGAGTAGACTGCCTCCTATTTAAAGGAAGATTTGAAAATATTGGTTATGTATTTTTGGAGTCCTGTAGCCTCTGTAGTATGTCTTTTTTTTTTCGGACAGTGTAAGTTAACATTTAGGTATTCCTTGAGTACTTGCTTAACCTCTCTAGTACCCTGTGTATAATACATGTTCATAATGGCATGTGTTTCTGATATATATCCTTACTACTCATCTGGTTTATTGCCTATCTCTCTGTGGAGCTGCAAATCCTATGTATTTATGTTGCATCTATAGTTTAAGTTTTTGAATTACATTTTCATGTATTTGTGCATGTGTGTCTCTGGTGTGTGTGTGTGTGTAGGTCAGAGGACAACTTACTGAAGGTGTTTCTCTTTTTCTACCATGTGGATTCCAGGGGTCTGACTCAAGTTGTTGGGCACTGAGCCATCTCTAGGTTCCTGTAGTAATATTTTGATACAAGTGGGATAAAAGTGCTCTCAGTTTGGTTTTTTTTTTTTTGGTTTTTTTTTTTTTTTGGTTTTTCGAGACAGGGTTTCTCTGTGTAGCTTTGGAGCCTGTCCTGGAACTCACTCGGTAGTCCAGGCTGGCCTCGAACTCACAAAGATCCGCCTGTTTTGCTTTTTAAGGCAGGGTTTCTCTGTGTAATAGGCCTAGCTATCCTGGAATTCACTTTCTAGACCAGGCTGGCCTCGAACTCACAGAGGTCTGTCTGCTTCTGCTGGGATTAAAGTTGTGCGTCACTACTGCCCGGCTAAGTGGTCTGTTTTAAGGCTGTTTATTTTCTTACTGATTTATAGGTAGTATAGTTTAAGATTTTACTCTCAGTTAGAAAAATGACTTAGATGTTCATTTAGTACCTTCTGATAATTGTTTAGATTTCACTTTTTTGGCCACTATTTAAAAGTTTTTTTAGGTTATAGAAAATTAAATGTCAAGTAGAAAAGAATTTAGATAAAAATCAACTGACATGCAAATCAGTACTGTTTTGAAATTGTTAGACATCATTAAATGTCAGTGTACTAATAATCAAATCCAGAAAGGAGTTTCTAACCCCTCTTATTAGATAGTTATGGAACAATACAAAAAGAATCATAATATTACTGAGCAACTAAACACTGATGTTCCGAGTGGTTTGATGACCATGTGGCTTGTCAGCTGTGGGACTGGGACCCATGTCTCCCCTTGTCAACCCAGTGCCTTTCCCTGATTGTTACAGTGACCTTCCCCTTGTTCTGTGTTCCACAACGCGAGTGGAGACTTAACTGAGGCACAGGTGTAGGAGTTTAGATGCCAAGTTTCTGAGGTTGATCTGGTCCTTTCTTCTCCACTCACGTGTGGAGTTTTACCATGAGGAGCCTTTCTTTGTCTCTGTCATTCAAGCAACCAGTTCTGTGGGAAGGGAAAAGGGGAAAGAAGGAGAATGTGGTGTTCAGATGAAATAGAGAGAAATGAAGCTGACTGAGAAGTATACTCTGAGTAGACACATGGAGGTGGTTTGGCTTAGAGGCCTAGCAAATTCACAGGGAAACAGCATCCATTTGTTGATTGAGTTTCCTAATTGAAATTATACTCAAGGTCTTCATCTCGGAAGTGATTAATGTTCGTCACCAAGTACTGTAGGAGAAGTAGCCTATGTTCATGGAGAAAAGCAGTTCATAGTCATTAATGTTCTCATTGAGTCCCAGCCAGATGGTGTGTATGGACTTACGTACACTGTAGTTCCTCTCTGCTGTGGTGACCAGGACTGTGCTCTGCTCTAGGATTCTGAGAAGCTGCAATACCTGTTCCAGGCAGCATTGGAGCTCAGCACCAGCGCGAAACCCTACGACTGTGTGACAGCCTCCTACCTGCTGAACTTGCTCATATGGCAGGATGCTCTGCCAGCCTCCCTGACTGCCTCCTCAGCACAGCAGCTCACACGGGGAGCTGGAAAGAAGGCTGCCGTGCTGGAAAGGAACACGTTAGTGGGTTTGTATTGAGAAAGCGATCTTGTGCTGTCACTTAGCAAACCCTGTATTTTAATTTCTTTTTCTTTAGAGTAACCAATGGTTGAATATTTCCTTGTTTTAAGAGTTTGCCCGCACATGAGAACACCAGTACCATTTATGCAAATTAATAATTTACTCCTCTTTAGCACCTGTTTCTTTTCTTTTTCTGTCTGTCCTTCTTTTTTCCTTTCCCTTTTTTTGTTTTGTTTTTTTGAGATAGGATTTCTCTGTTTAACGGCCTTAACTGTATTGAAACTAGCTGTGTAGACCAAGCTGGCCTCGAACTCACAGAGATCTGCCTGCCTCTGCCTCCCGAGTGCTGGGATTAAAGGCGTGCACCACTATGCTCACCTATTTCTAAACAGAAGACTTATGCTAAGTAATTAGACACACTGATGGACACATTTCAAAAGGGGCATCTTTTCTTTCTCCACTCCGAGTGTGCCGTTTTTGTATGATAGTTCTGCTGTGACCACAAATAAATCATCCTCATTATGTCTGAACAGAGCAGAGTTACTTTGTTGAGATATTTTCCTCAATCACTTCTCCACCTTATTTTAAAACTTGAAATGTTGTTTGTGAGTGCATTTGTGTAGTGTGTGCACACATGTGTGCATGTACATGGAGGCCAGAGAAGATTTGATGTTCTGTCCTATCACTCTGGGTTTTCTTCCCACAAAACAAGGTCTCTCCCTGAACCTGGAGCTGCACCAGTGGCCAGAAAGCCCCGGAGACCCTCCTGTCCATCTTCACAGTGCTAGGGTTGTAGGCCCTCCCAGGACCCAGCTCTCAGATTGGAACTCGGCTCCACATGCTTGCGGAGCAAGATAGCATTGGGCTGTCTCTCCAATGCTCCACCTTAATTGTTGAGACACAGGCTCTTTGAGCGTGGCACTTGCCATTTCTGCTCGCGACTCTGCCTGTTTCTGTGTCCCATCCCTCCACTGGGATTACATATGTGTGCCACCATGCCAACTTTGTATCAGTGCTGGTGATTCCAATTGAGAGCTTCATGCTTGTATAACACAGCCAGCTCTCAGCCTTCCCCCCCCCCCCCCCCCCCCCCACTTCCTACTCTCTTTAACAGGAGCTCTTGTAGCCTGGGTCAGCCTGAAACTTGCTGCATAGCCAAGGGTGATCTTGAGCTTCTGCTCCTCCTGCCTTCCCAGTTATGCAGTGCAGTACTGGGACTGAGCCCAGGACGTCGTGCCTGCTAGACAAGCAAACTGCAAGGACAGGAAGCAACACTCAGCACCATCAGCCTGCAGGGAAATGCAGACCGAAATCACAGAGCGCAAAGACTTCATTCCAACGGGGTAGCCAAGGAGAACCCCCCAGATTATAAATGTCCTTGAGGTTGTGGAGAAAATAGAATATGCACTGCAAGGATGGAGGGTGTACACACAAGCATTCAGCCTGTAAATACCTGGAGAACTGAAAGTATACACCCAGACAAGAGCTCTGCAAGAATATCTGTAGCAGCACTATTCAGACTTGTCTAAAAGTGGAAATAAGCCATGTGCATATCAGCTGCTGAGTGGATAAGTAAAATGTGTCCGCCTGTACAGTGGACTCCTATTCAGCCATAGGAAAGAATGAATTATTGATACAGCTTTGATGAACTTTGAAAACATGATGATAAGTAATCTGAGTCAGTCATGTGTTATTTTATTCTATTTATGATCTGTCTAGACTAGGCAAATCTTTTTTTTTTTTTTCTTCTTATTTTTTTTAGACAGGATCTCATATAGCCCAGGCTGGCCTCCAACTCACTATGTAGCCAGACTGGTCCTGAACTCCTGATCTCCCCACCTCAGCTTCCCAAGTTCCAGCATTACAGACAGTATCTGTCACCACACATGGCTAAGAATAGGCAGCTCTGTAGGGACAGAACTAGTCAGTGGTTCCCTAGCACAGAGCAAGGGTAGAACTAAGAATAGGCAGCTCTGTAGGGACAGAACAAGTCAGTGGTTCCCTAGCACAGAGCAAGGGTAGAACTACCGTGAGAGTGACTGTTGCTTCTGAGTGAAGGTGTCTGTTGTAGTTTTGTGTGTATATGTGTCAGTCGGCAGTAAAAATGTTGTGGGATAGTGTTTGCATATATCTGACAATGGAAAAAATGGACTGTACACTCTCTCTATATAGATATATATCTATATCTATATATGGATATAGATATAGATATATAATTTTATTTTTATGTGCATTTGTGTTTTTGCCATGGGTGTCAGGATCCCCTGAAACTGTAGTTACAGACAGGTGTGAGTCGCCATGTGGGTGCTGGGAACTGAACCTGGGTCCTCTGGAAGAGCAGTCAGTGCTCTTAACCCCAGAGCCATCTCTCCAGCCACCGACTGTACACTCTTAATTTTTACTGCATTTGTGTGTGTGTGGGTGTGGGTGTGGGTGTGGGTGTGGGTGTGTGTGCGCGTGTGCGTGTGTGTGTGCACGCACACCCAAAGGTGTAGATTTCTCTTCTTCCACCACATGGGACCTGGGGATCCAGCTCAGGGCGTCACGTTTGATTGAAAGCTCCTTTACCCACTGAATTATCTTACTGGCCCAACTTGTGCATTTGAAATGTATGAATTGCATGGTGTCTGAGTTGTATCTTGATTATACCGTTACTAAGTATCACTTTTGGTCAAATAGGCCATGCTACATGGTCCTGGAGTTCAACACTCAGCTGGAGGGTATCTAAAAGGATTGGTTCAGAGTGAATGTCATTAATCCCGGCAATTAAGGGAATGCATTCCATTCTTTAACGGTGTCTTAACTAGAAATTGTTAACAGGCTTTGATAGCCCTGAAAAACCTTTGATTCTAAACCCCTGATGTGGGGCTGGGCAGATGACTCAGTCGAGCCCTGTCTGTGCACACCTGAGGGTCTGAGGTGGACTTGTCAGTGTCTGTAAAAAGCCAGGTGTGGCAGTGTGCATCTGTCATTCCAGCCTGGGGAGGCAGAGACAGGGAGCATCTTGAGGCTAACCAGCCAGCCAGCCTTCCTGAATCAGTGACTCAGAGGTTCAGTGAAAGGTCTTTCTTCAGAAAGTAAGGTAGAGAGATCAGGGAAGGTGTCCACCCTTGCTGTCTGGCTTCCACCTGCACATCTGCACGTGTGTGTACATGTGTACATGTACACTCAGAAAACCTCTAGTACAGTGGTTCGCAACCTGTGGGTTATGACCCTTTCACAAGGGTCGCCCAAGATCATTGGAAAACACAGATATTCACATTACGATTCGTAACAGTCTCAAAATTACAGTTATGAAGTAGCAATGAAATGATTTTATGGTTGGGGGTCAGCCCAAGTGAGGAACTGTATTAAAGATTGAGAACCACTGCCCTAGTATAACATTTAGTTGAGCTGGGTGTGCTTTCTTTCCTATAAGTGTTTATAACTGAGGCTATTTCAGTTTCTGTTTGGTTCTTTTTCTAGTTATGAAGTGCTTGATGGAAAATCTTGAGGATGAAATATCTCAGGCTGAGAACTCTCTGCTTCAGGCTGCATCCTCATTTCCAATGTATGGGAGAGTCCACTGCATAACAAGAGCTTTCCAGAGGTTGCCTTTGAAGTAAGAATACCCACAGCTTTCTTGTTTAGAAATACACGTTTGCTTGGCATTTAGCTTCTTACTGGAGTGTGTCTTAAAAAAGAATTGAAAATTAGATTTCATTGTCTACCCATATATGCATATTTTTAAGTCCCTAATATTTCATATATCACTCAGTTTTAAGCCACAAATTCTTTCAGCTCCTTTTGTGTGTTCATTCATTTCTAAGATGAGTTTTTTGCTTTTGAGTATAATGTCTCTGCTGTGTTTGTTGAAGTGCCCTGCAGTTGGTGAGCGAGTGGAGGCTGGTGGTGGAGAGGCTTTTGCTGCTGGCCTACAGGCTTTCTGCTGTGGTGTCTCCTGTCATCCAGAGCTCCTCCCCTGAAGGCCTCATCCCTATGGACACCGACTCAGGTCAGCCGGCGAGGGCCAGTGCGATTCTTCTGTCTCCGTCTCTATCTCGTTATTCCTTTGGAGAGATACAAAAACTAAATTAAGGGAAAAATCTTTTTCATGCTATGTCTTAATTTTTTTAGTAATTTTTTTTTTTTTTTTTTTTTTTTTTTTTTTGGTTTTTCGAGACAGGGTTTCTCTGTATAGCTTTGCGCCTTTCCTGGAACTCACTTGGTAGCCCAGGCTGGCCTCGAACTCACAGAGATCCGCCTGGCTCTGCCTCCCGAGTGCTGGGATTAAAGGCGTGCGCCACCACCGCCCGGCTAATATTTTTAATTATTAAAAAGTAGCCCCTGGTAGGAGAGACATTTTACAGAGTGGTGTAGTAAACAAACTCTGTTCCTGTAAACAAACTCACCCATCTTCCCACAGGCAGACTTAATGTAATTCAGTGAGTTATAAAGAAAAAGAGGAGGGCATGAAAGTAGACGAGGGACGAGTTGGGACAAAGGGGATCAGTGGGAGTGAGGAGGACAGTAGAGGGTCATGTAAAGTGAATATGATCGCAATATGCTATGGAATTATATTCATCACGTTGGGCAGTGGTGGCCCATGTCTTTAATCCCGGCACTCAGGAAGCATCTGGATCTCTGTGAGTTTGAGGCCAGCCTGGGCTACAGAGTGAGTTCCAGGACAGGCGCCAATGCTACACAGAGAAACCCTGTCTCGAAAACAAACAAACAAACAAACAAACAAACAAAAACCCAAACAAACAAAACATTATATTCATCATTAGTCCCATATATATAACCAATATCTATTAGATTAACATCTATTAGAGTTTAAACACTGTATATATGAAATGACCCCAGCTCCAGAGAACCAGGTAATAAACAAGATAGATTGGGTTTTATAGTACTGTTTTTCAGAGCACATAGTCCAAATGTGTGAGGTGGGTAGAGAAGACTGCTTACTGGGAATCTGAAATGGACAAAGAGCAATTCTTGGGAAGGAATGGAAGGAAATAGTTCTCCAGATTGAACTTCATCTGCTTTTACCCTCCCAGTCCCTGCCTCTTTGCATATGTTCCTCCCGTGGATCTGCATGCAAGTCAGGGGTTTCGGACTGCTTGCACGTCTCCCTTCTCATGCCCATTTCCATTTTCTTTCAGGGTTACCCTTAAAAACTCCTAAATCTTTTTTTCTCTGCACCTTTCTCACTCTCTCCAGGTAATTTTTTTGTTTTCTTAGGTTATCCTAGATGCTTCCCTATGGATTTCCCTTCTTCCATTTCCTTCTAATAAAGTTCAGATGACTTTCCTAGTCCCCTCAGTTATCATTTGAATGGCACGTCGCCTTTAGCCCCTTGTGCTGTCCCACTTTGACACTGCAGTGCCCTCCGACTGACCGTGCCCTGTGGTGGTCTGTCTCCTAGTGCTCTTCGCCCCAGGAGCTGTCCTTCATGGAACTCACTTTACAGGAATGGCGCCTCTGTGTTCCTGCCTTGCGATGAAAATTAGTGATGGTTCACGATACCAAGACAGTTAGTTATTCCAACTCACGTTAAGCTCAGTATTGATCTTTATACTGTAGTTTTCCTACTTAGATAGTACATCTTGAATATTTGGCTCAGGCAAGTACTGGTCGATTCTGAATGAGCAATCCTGAACGTTTCAGTTCCCTAATGTAGGTCGGTCTTGTAGAGTGTGCATAAGGAGTTTTGTTATTATTTAAGAGTAGGTGGGGAGGAGCTGGACAGATTTGGGGGAGGGGAAAAATATGATCAAAATTCACTGCATGAAAAAATTTGGAAAAAATAAAAAAGATTTTAAATTTGAAAAGGTTGGTCTTAGATACTACTTTACCTCACAGACTTTTCCTGAATTCTGCCTCCCTTGCCTTGGTCTTTATATTTTTTCCTGCCACTTCCCTGTTTTATAGGCCATATATTCTGAACCCCCTTGAAGAGTTGGATGGGTAGGATTCCGAAAACCTTTCTGGTTGTTTCTGTTTTCCTTTACTCTTCTCATAGCTTTTTTTTTGGGGGGGGGGCGGGAAGGGAGGTGGTGTTATTGTTTTCTGGCTGTTAAAATTTGCTTTTTTGATAAAATTTCAAGGAAGCAACCAATGAGTATATGTATTGATTGAATGGCTATTAACACAGTTTGGGCCTGTGTATTTCCCATAGTGCCTGAGTAGATGTATGCCGTCTTTACTGCCTCTTAGATTTTTCCGTTCATTCCCTGTGATTTAGTACTTTTTAAAAATTAGAGCTTGGGTGGCTTCTAACTACCCATCCATCATCCCATTCATTCACCCCAATTCCCCGAACCTATGTGTGAGCCAACTCTAGGCACTGGTGACTCACAGCGAATGAAGGCTGTCTTCCTGGAGTTTACTAAAAGACATTGCACGAAACATTGGCACTGTGCGGCATGCTGAGATGGCTGTGTCTTTTGCTTTTCTAAACCAAATATGGAATTTTTATAAACCTATGTTGCAAAAGATTGTGTGGTATTGATTTTTTTAGATATATATTTTTTTTAGATTTATTTATTTATTATGTATACAGCATGTATGATATGACTGCATGCCAGAAGAGGGCACCAGATCTCATTACAGATGGTGGTGAGCCACCATGTGGTTGCTGGGAATTGAACTCAGGACCTCTGGAAGAGCAGTCAGTGCTCTTAACCTCTGAGCCATCTCTCCAGTCCCGATTTTTTTAGATATTAGAACACATTTTTTTTCTTTGAATCTTGCTGACTTACATTGTAGGCTAGGCAAACCAACCTTACTGTACTTCCCTCACAAGAGTAAGCATTGTCACTCTATGGTAAAGGCGATGGCAGCCTGTGAACGGGGATGTTTGAACTGTGTGTGTGTCATGTCTTCAGTCTGAACTTTGTTAAGAGCACACTTTAGTATCATGAAGACCCCCTGTAAGTAACTTCCTGTCAGCCATCCTGTGAGCACAGGGATTGCCTCTGTTGGAAACTACAGCAACTTGGAGTTAGTTCAGGGAAGTCTGCACGACATGGAACTTGGTGTTCATGAATGCTTATCTTTTCTTCAGAGTCAGCAAACCGCTTGCAAGTGATTCTCAATGAGATTCAACCACGGGATACTAATGATTACTTCAGCCAAGCCAAACTACTGAAAGAATGTGATAGCTTTGACTTGGAAGACTTGAGTACCAGTGTCTCAAATATTGATAGTTGTGCAGAAATCAAAGGTAAGATACATGAAATGGATAATGTAATCAGTGGAGTATTTTGGTGTTTGTGTCCCGGGGTGGGGAGGATGACCACAAGTACTTTAGTAATGTAAAATATGTAGACTGTCTTATTGTTTTGTTTTAAAGTGTGTGTGTGTGTGTGTGTGTGTGTGTGTGTGTGTGTATGAGAGAGAGAGAGAGAGAGAGAGAGAGAGAGAGAGAGAGAGAGAGAGAGAGAGAGAGAGAGAGAGAGAGAGAGAATACCTAAGTGCAGGTGTCTGTGGAGGTCAGAAGTGTAAGATCTTCTTGGAGCTGAAGTTACAGGCAGTTGTGAGTTGCCTGATGTGGATGCTTAAACCCAACTTGGGTACTGTAATAGCAGTACACACTCTTAGCTGCTGAGCCATCTTTCCAGCCCCAAAATGCCCTTTGGATATAATAAAAGAGAGTTTCGATTTGCAGAACATTTCTGGAAAACAAAGACTTTTCTTTTCAATTTGGGTTTTGGAATGACTTTGCAAGAGCTTTATCAGAAAATGATATGCCTTAGTTCAACATAGGCGATGCTACAGCACAAAACTTTTGAGCATAAAACTCTTGAGTAGCCTAGCTGGGGAGGGAGGGACACAGGATGCTGAGGGATCTGGCCTCACCTCCTCCCCGCTGCATAGTTCACTGCTGTCTTCTGTGGGAGTTCTTGAAGTCAGCGTCCTTTTAAAGGAAACCTTATCCCCAAGCAGAATGTGAACTTCTGTGTCACACCAAGCCACCAGAATTCCAGTCTGCATGGCTTGCTTTATCAGTTGTTACTGAAAAAAGTTATCACAAGAAGTAATTTCTTAGTGATTTACCCTGTGGCTATGTTCTCCACTAGATGGGGTTATTGTCTTGCTAAACAATCTCTTTGCAATTTGTATTTTTAAAATTACAAAAATAGGTTTTCACTGTAATAGTGAAATATAAATTTAAAATGGAGTAAAGCTATGTTCCATTTCCTCCCCAGTTCTATCCTGCTGCCATTTTGTGTATACGCCATTCTAGCCATGCTGTGTATTGATATGTAAGTGCGTTTTTCTTTTAGCTTAGGGAGCTTTTCTTTATAAAGTGAAATTGGTATAGTCTATTGATTGTAAAAGTTTTGTCTTGGGTTGGAGAGAGAGCTGAGCAGTCAAGAGCACTGTCTGTTCTTTTGAAGGATCCGGATGCAACCCCAACACCCACGTGTTAGCTCACAACTGTCTGTAACTCTAGTTCCAGAGGATCCCGTGCTTTCCTTTGGCCTCTGTGGGCACCAGGCACGCACGCGGGGCACAGGTACACAAGCAGGCAAAGCCAAGCACCCATGTGCATTAAAAAACAAAGACAGAAATAGGAAAAGTTCTGTCTTAGGGGCTGGAGAAGTAGCTCTGTGGTTCAGAGCACTTGCTCTTCCAGAGGATCTGGGTTTATTTCCAGCACCCGTGTCAAGTGGCTCCCAGTGGCCTGTAACTCCAGCTCCAGGGAATCCAGTGTCTCCTGAGCTCCACGAGCACTCTCACACATGTGGCATAGTCTCATTCTCTCTCTCTCTCTCTCTCTCTCTCTCTCTCTCTCTCTCTCTCTCTCTCTCTCTCTCTCTCTCTTTCTCTCTCTCTCTCTCTGTGTCTGTCTTTCTCCCTGACAAGAAAAAAGTAATCCTACCACTCACACTCAGGAGGTAGGGCAGGAGGGTTGTGAGTTTGGAGAGCCTGTATGTAAAAAAACAAAACTAAAACAAACAACAACAGAATTTTTATCCACTCCTTACCTGATAAAGCAACTGTTCTCACCAAAGTAAACAAGAAGTACTTTTTTTTCTTTTAAATACTCAAGCACGCAGTGCTTTAGGGGTTCCAGAGAGGTGCAAAGTTTGTCTCAGTAACATTCAAATGCTAGTCCTAAGTTTGGAGGAGGTAGTGTGTTTCATTTTAAGGTTTTTTGGTTGTTTTTTTTTTTTGGTTTTTCGAGACAGGGTTTCTCTGTGTAGCTTTGCGCCTTTCCTGGGACTCACTTGGTAGCCCAGGCTGGCCTCGAACTCACAGAGATCCGCCTGGCTCTGCCTCCCGAGTGCTGGGATTAAAGGCGTGCGCCACCACCGCCCGGCTTAAGGTTTTTTGAAAGTAACAAAAAATTAGCATGCTTCCCCCTCATAGCATGTACTCTACAAATGTTAGCGTATTTTGTTTTCTCTGAATAAACAGAACATATGACAAATTGGTTTGTTCAAACAAATCATTCTTGGGAAAATTACGAATAAGTGTGTTCTAAGAAAACTGAGATGTGAGGAATCATAGCTGGTGTTGCAATGGTTTTGTTTTGTTCCTTAAGGTAAAGAAGGAAAAACATGTGATGTCACTGCTCAGATGGTCCTGGTGTGCTGCTGGAGGAGTATGAAGGAAGTCGCTTTACTTCTGGGCACACTCTGCCAGCTTCTCCCCATGCAGCCTGTGCCAGAACCTTCTGATGTGTTACTAACAGTGCCGCAGGTAAGATGGTGGTCCTCCCTCCAGGTGTCATCTTTGGCCTGGGTCTAAGCTGTTATTTGCAGATCAACTTTTAAAAAAGGCTTCGATTTTACCTTTTATTTACAGATGCCAGCTGAAAAAGGTTCATGGTAATTTTAGGATATTAGATCTTAACATTATATTTTAAAAATGTGGCATTTTAAGAAATATTTTATACCAATAACTAGATGTGCCTCACTTTTGACTGCAGCATTATTATTATTTAAATTTTTATCTTTTTAGCGTACATAAACTTGAATTCTAACTGAAATGATCTGTTTAGTAAGACTCCACATGTCTCTTAAAAATTTCAAGGAATAAAAAAGCAGCATTGGTTGCTCATGCTCTCCTGCTCCCCCTGCCCCCTTCAGTAATAAAGTTGCAGCCCTTGGTGCTTTTGGCTGACTTTCACTTCAGACCACAAGTTAGCTCAGCATCTGGGGCTGTGTTTACAAGAAACTAGCTCACCACAGGCATTTCATTTGGAAATACTGTAGATTTATTAGATTTTTGTTTTTAATTGATTCCTTCTTCCTTTCCATATGGTTTCAACAAATCCATTTCCCACAGTTTGCCAGCAAAGATATATAGCATGCACTTTCATTTTTAACCTTTTTCAAATAAAGATAATCCCCCCCCCCCCCCCCCCCCCCGCCGTAGGGTATTACAACATTCAAGAACAAAACAAATACTGTAGTATGCTAATGCTGATTATTCTTACAATACCCATGTGACTAGTGCCATGGAAATAATGCTAATGTTTTTATTCTCACACTCGGGTGCATGTGCTTGCATCTGGCTAACAGCTGGGCCAGTGATGTTGTAAGACCTTGGAAAAGCACAGGGCAAAGGCGAATAGCACGTTGTGGGCGGCATGTTCCTTCCTCAGTCTCATCCAGATTAAATAGGCCTTGCTGTCCTAGAGTTACTGGAGTCATTGCTCTGACTGGCAGTAGTGCCAATGCCTATTTCTTGCTGAGGAATCCAGTTATGATCAGCCATTTCACTGGTGTGAATCTACCATCTTGTTATGAAGTAAGCATGTGCTAAATCCTTGACTTGTCAACTTCTCCTTTCAAGGACAAATTGAGGAAAATACATTTTGCTTTTTATTGTGACTGAGAAAGCTCTTGAAAACTTGAAAGCTCTCCATGAAGATTATTTTGCCTTGATACCCTTTGCTTTATACCCAAAGTTTGTATTGTAATGACTTCATGTGGAACAACCATGTTAAAATTGGATCTAACGTAAAAGAAATGTTTGGTTTTTTAAAAAAATAAACTAAAAATAGCAAATAAATAGTTGTATAAAGTAAAGAATTCTTCAGTGGCCGTTGGCATGTATAATGGACTTCTGCCCATTAATAAAAAAGCATCACAGAACGGAGGTTCTGATGGCACACATAATCTCCCAGTGCGCTTTTTACACGATAACCTCACATGTAGCTATATGAGAAGACATCACTGGCTTGGTGAAGAATGGGGTTCATGTCATTGCCATTTGCTAACAGAAACTATTCCCTGTGGAAAGCTTTACTCTTGGCTTTTAAACAAATGTCTTCTTAGCTTAGGAACATTTAGTCCATGAAAGTCCTGTCTCCAGACATTAATGTCATTTACATTACTATAGGGTTTCTTCTTTTCTAAACATAAAATTGCTTCTTTTAAAAAAAGTGTTTTTTAATTTCAATATTTTAGGTTTGCTTATTTTGTGTTTGCTGTCATATCCACGTGCATAGTTGTGTTCTAGGTGCCTGTGGAGGCCAGAAGAGGGCATCAGATCCCCAGAACTGGAATTACAGGTGCTTGTGAGCTACCATGTGGATGCTGGGAACTGAACCCTGGGATCCTTGTGCAAGAACAGTAGTGCCCTGAACTGCTGAGCTAGCTCTTCATCCTTCCCATTTCCTTGCTTGTGAGACAAGATCTTGTTATGTAGCCCAGGCTGGCCTTCCGAGTGCTGGAATGACAGCCAGTTGTAAATTCTGCTTCTATAAATAAAAAATAGTCGCATGTACTTGATTCTTTTAAGAATTAAAAATAGAACTGACAGAAGAGCATAGCTTACATCAGGGCGCCTGGCCATACCTAAGGAAATTCATCCATACATCCAAGGATATAGTTGCTCTGACAAAGCTGCCTTTGCTGTAGCTGGTGACAAAACCATCAGTTTGAGAGTTTACCTCTCAGATGAGTGTGACTCCAGCACACTCTCCTCTGTAGAGTTAAGTTACTGTACTTAGGAGTCTCCTCTCTCACCTTCCTCGACCCCCAGTTCTCTGAAGATCAGCCTGGTTTTATGCCTTTGTTAAGGGGTGGTTCTTACATAGCACACATGAAAGTGATTTACAACAGGCGGACAGGAAGCAGGGTGACAGTTTGGGGACTTGTGTTGCCGTCTGAGAGGAGAGCTGGTACTTGTCTTTTGTTCTGAGTGCTCAGTGCTTGGTTGATGGAAGGATCACTGCCGTGATGCTCTCCAGCCCCTGAGATAGGAGGAGACTGAAGCCCTGGTTGTCATCACCTGCTTTGCCAAAGACCACAAAGCTCGCATCTAGCTTCCCTCAGATGGGAACCCAGTTCTCTCCTTCCCATCATGGCTTCCCCTGGCACAGTGCTGTCTTTGTCCTAAGCAGCTCATTTAAGTGTTCTTTAAGTTGGATTTCCCCCTTCTCCATTACCTAAGCCAGTTTTCTCTACTGAAGAAGCAATGGAAGATAACTTTTTTATTTTTAAGTGTTTAGTACCTGATCCTTCCTGTAGGGTATTTGGTGTGAAGTGTTTAGTACCTGATCCTTCTTGTAGGGCATTTGGTGTTAAGTGTTTAGTACCTGATCCTTCCTGTAGGGCATTTGGTGTGAAGTGTTTAGTACCTGATCCTTCCCATAGAGCATCTGGTGTGAAGTGTTTAGTACCTGATCCTTCCTGTAGAGCATCTGGTGTGAAGCAGTATGCTCTTGCTAGCCTCTTCAAGAGGAAACTTCACCTGGTGGCATGTCTGGCTTCCTCCTGCTCTCTAATCACACAATGAAAGGTCCTTTCATAGTGTCCCTGTCCTAGAGGCAGAGAGAAAGCCTCTTTGAGGGCTGGAAGTCGAGACTCTTCAAAATGAGCTGTGCACACAGCCTATCTCATGGTTTCCTGATTCACTGGTGTGTGTCTAGGTTTCTAGCCTTACCTTTTGCTGATAGACTTCTGCTTGATATTTTGTTGGACCTTTTTCCAGCGTGATGGCTGATACTGATTTTTGAAACAACTTCTCCACTGAAAATCAATTTCATTGGAGATTTCACCTAATGTTTCTAAAAAGAGGCTTCTGGGTAAATTTTCATACCTGCCTCACCTCATACCCTCTCGTAATTATTACCACAGAAATCCCGTGAGCAAACATATTGTCAACAAACGTTCCTGCCATAGATTCTGTCGTTACTTGAGTGACTGGTAGTGCTGATGGTGTTGGTGATTTCCTCTCTTGTTTCATTATTTAATTCTTTTGTAATGAATTACAAGTGGAATTTACATTTATTAGAATTCATAAGTCATAAAGGAATTGCCTTTCTGTTTTATTTGTTTATATTTAGATTTTAGAAATTATAAATAAGTATATTGAACTATAATGAGTTAAAGATAACTTTGTTTTAAAGATTTATTTATTTATTATGTATACAGTATTCTGCCTGCATGTATGTCTGCAGGTCAGAAGAGGGCACCAGATCTCATTACAGATGGTTGTGAGCCACCATGTGGTTGCTGGGAATTGAACTCAAGACCTCTGGAAGAGCAGTCAGTGTTCTTAACCTCTGAGCCATCTCTCCAGTCCAAAAGTTGTAACTCTTAAGCTTTGCCGTGAACTTGAGATGAGAACACATCATTTAGTCGTCTGTTTATTACCTGCCTTCCTACGTGGATATTGTGGGAACCTAGGAAGACTCACATGTGGTTCTCTGACCTCAGAGCACTTAGTAATACACTACTGGAACGAAGTAGGGTTAACTTTGAAAACTCAGGCTGGAAGGGCCCATGTTGAGAATCTGCTCGAAAGCAAAAACTAAACTTTCTGGTAAGACAGTGTCTGCACACCAACCAGAAAACCATTGTAATTATATAGAGGGACAATATTTGGATTTTGAAGAAATTCAGATTGTTAGAAATCATTAAAGTGGAGAAGGAATGGTTTTAAACATTAATTACTGTTTTGGGTTTAAATGTGAAGTATCCTGTGTAACCAAAATGGAATTAGAGTCTCCTTACTGTAGACTTGCTTTAAAGTCAGAGTTTGAATTAAGGGTTCCTATTTTATAGTGCAAAGTCAAACCAAAAGTAGACATTTATAGATTACTAATTTATCTGATGGTAAGCTATAAACGCCTGGAGACATGGCAAGTAGCTGTTTACTGTGTGGATTTGTGACCTATAAATCCATAAAAGATGCCAGTTTGCTTTAGAGTTCTATAAAAAGTCTGAAGTAGGATATGTTAAATTTAAGAGATAGTGACATGTTTAATTTTAAGATTAAAAGTCAGTATCTTATTTTTTTATTCACTTTTACCTTCATTTTCTTCTAAATATCCTGAGATGTGTATATGCTGACTTGTGCCTGTAATCCCAGTACTTGAGAGGCTGAGGCAGGAGGATGGTCAGGGATTCAAGGCCAGCCTCAGCTGTGTAGTGACTTCCAAGCCAGCCTGAACTGTAAAAATGAGGTCCTGGATCAATTAAAAATAATAAGAAAACCTTTTGGGAGAATCTATTTTTTATCATAAGTTTGTTAAAAACAACAACAACAACAAAAAAAAAAAAAAAAAAAAGAAAGAAAAACAAAACAGACAAAAAAAAAAAAAAACCCACCAAAAAAACCCCAAACAAAACCACAGCGTCCAAAAAGAAAACGCTTTGAACTCTGTAAACTTGCTGGTTTCTAATGATGCAATTGGGTTTTCAGAGGACCTTTTCATTTTAAAGATTAGGTGGCAAATCTCTGGGCTGGTGAGGTGACTCAGTGTGTAAAGTGCTTCCTGCCAAGGTTGATCCCTGACTGTCCTCTGACCTCCGCAGGCACCCCCCCCCCCACACACACACATACACACAAATACATAAATGTGGTAAGTTTTTAAAGTTCTGTTTCTGATTGTCACTATTGTTAGCCATTTTCTGATGGTTTGAGTCAACTCTGTTCTCTGTGGTCTGGTCACCCACCGAGAGGGTGTCAGTAGGATGCTTCTGTCCAGCTGCTGCTCCCAGAGCCCATTGTCCTGCTCACTGTCCCACCCTTAGGAACTGGGTTCACCTCCTCTTCATGCCTGTCTTTCCCTGCTGTCTAGTATAGAGCCTCTAGGTCCTTCATCTGAGTCTGCCAACCTAGCCTGTGTATGTTAGATCTGGACCCATTAAAGTGTCTGCTTGATAGCAGCTGCTCAGGAACTGTTTATTTGCTTAATGTGTAGCCTCTTCACATACTAAATGTCCTCTTCTCTTTTGGTCTCCCTAAGCACATACACTCTGCAAGATGTGAGTGTGAGCTCTGTTCTATTTTAGTGCAGGTAGGCCTTTGGTTTCTTGGAACTGTTGGGTAGCTCTCATTACAACCCAGCATGTTAGTTTTCTCTGCAGGTCTAAACTGACAGCCTGCTGAGGTCACACACACGTCCTGTTTTCATCTTCTTCGTCTGCCTCAGTAAGCTCTGCAGCATTGGACAGGACGTCAGAAACACTTGACAGTGATCGTATATGTCTGCAAGGGCAAAAATTCACAGTTTGTTTAGAGATTAAGTGTGAAACAAAATGAAGAAAAATTGTGTACCTATCACTCATCCTTAGAGTTTCATTCTGACTGCTGAGGTCAGGATTGCCTAGGGCTGAAGGTCTGCTTGAGCACCCACAGGCATACTTCTGAAGGCTCTAGTTTTAGTATATACTTTTTAGTTGAGCCCTTTGAAAGGTGTTAGTATGAAGGAAGCAGTGGGAAAGTGATCTCTGCTTAAGGGAAGGTAGTGAGCTGTGCAAGTCCTCAGAGAAGCAGGAATAAGTTAGTCTGTATTGAAGTATGCCACAGTATCTGAAACGGTTTAGGGAAAAGAATTGACTAAGAGACTTTGGTCTTTATTTGATCTGTTCTGAAATACCTTCTTGTAACCTCTTACATCTGTAATGGTAGAAATGATGCTTTGAAAAGAAGCATATTACCCTGGAATAGAGTTTTTAAGATTCATCAAGTACTGCTTGTGTGGTTCTTTGTTGGTCTCAGGCTCTCTCTCTCTGTGCACTCTCTAGAACAGATACGCACTGACTGTAGATACTTTCCTCTGTTTAGAACAGACAACTCATGTCAAACTGAATTAGGTTATAGATAATTGGCCTCTTCCGAACTTGTTATTTAAATCATTGAAACACAGCCGCCCATGAGGTAAGTGCTGTTAGTGCCCTAAGCGTACAGAAGAGGAAAATGAGACCACTGAGCATAGTTGCTCGTTTACAGCTCATTCTGTCATGTCTGATGGATGCAGAACACTACTGGGGTGAAGGTGTTTCTGGGTAAGTAGATCTGAGGTCCTGTGTGGCAGCCTCCCTGTTTACCACACTGTGGTCTGTGGATGCACAGTGAACAGATATGGTCCAGTTTTGCAGTTTTGGCCCAGAGTTTATATAAAGCCTGGATTTTTGAAAGTCAGCAGCCACCAAATCTGTCAGCAAATGACAAAAAGCCCGGTTGGATTAACCAGTTCCCCAGCTTTCTTTGTTTAGAACAAATGCAACCAATTGACAGTTATGTTTTCTTTAAAGTTAATTGGTGTGTTGTGTGTTTAATCTTCTCTAGAGAAGGACATCATGTTGGGGATGGTGGCATGGCATCCTGGCAGATTCCATGGTTGACTCATAGTGCTGCCTATTGACTCCTAGGAGCCTTTTCCTAAGCCTGGCTTGAGTCTTAGTGTATCTCTAGAATGCAATATGAATGGACATGGCTTCTCAGTTTAAGATGAAAAGGTCTTTGCAGGGTAATGGTAACAGTTGCTCATCAGTGCCATTGAATTGTACACTGTACCAATGGTTGGAATGGTAAATTTTCTTAGGTATATTTTACCACAATAAATGCAAAATATTTGAAGAGCAGACATAATTGTTTCCGAATATGTATGTGAGTTTGTTACTCTTTGTGACTTTTGTGTTGGTGTTGAATGAATGACACGAGCTAACAGAGCTTGCTATGAATTGGGCAGTTCTAGTGTAGCATTTCAAGAGGGATGACTCTCTGCTTTCCTGTCCTGCTTACTTGCTGTGGGACCTTAGATTATGTAGCCCTTCTGTGCCCAAGTTTCCCTATTGTGGACTACAGATAACAGTAGTATTTATTTCATGGACTTCATTATGAATAGTTAATGAGATGCTATAAAAAGTTTAAGGCAAGTGTGCTAGCACACATTTGTAATCCCCACCGGAGATGTGAAGAACAAGTATTATCCCTGACTACATAGCAAGTTTAAGGCCAGCCTGAGCTACCTGAGACCCTGTCTCAAAAAATAAAATAAAAGTGCTTAACACATGATTTGTCACATAAGTCAATGTGGGATGGATACCTAGGCACAGGTTCTGAATTATATTGCTGGTATGTATGAATGCATCTATACGTTAAGCATAAACTGAACATTTTTTCATTTTTTTTTAAAGGTAAAAGAAATGGGAGATTACTTTAAACAGCAACTTTTACAGTCCAGACACAGAGGAGCATTTGAGCTGGCTTACACTGGTTTTGTGAAACTCACTGATGTATTAAACAGGTAAAACAAATAGCAGTTTGTGTAGGTTGTTTTTTTTAAAGATTTATTTATTTATTATATACACAGTGTTCCGCCTGCATGTGTCCCTGCACGCCAGAAGAGGGCACCAGATCTCATTGTAGATGGTTGTGAGCCACCATGTGGTTGCTGGGCATTGAACTCAGGACCTCTGGAAGAGCAGTCAATGCTCTTAACCGCTGAGCCATCTCTCCAGCCCTTGGATAGGTTTTTTTTTTAAAGAGCAGACTCTAGACCATGTGCATGGAGTAGGTGTTGTATGTCTTTTTTCTGTTGGAAAGAGTGAAGCCTGGCTGGCTACCGAGGTCGTCAGAGGTGGCTTTCGAGGTTCAGTGTGTAGATGACTGAGGGAGATGTGCACCTTACACTGCTTTCTCACCAAAAGCTGATTCAAAGTGAACTCAAAGAAGTGGCCGAAATTGGGCTGAGATTACTGCTTCTTTTCATGGATGAGTGAATGTTTTGTCTGTTTGAAAATTACTTGGCGTTTGGAATCAAATAATCCTGGATTTCTTTGTTTCAAGGATAAACATAAGGATTTTGTCTTTTTCTTTATAGTTTTATTTTATAGAAAAATCTTATAATAACAATAAATAGACATAATTCATCTTACCTGGAAAAATACATAGATAGATCTCATGTATTTAAGCAAATGTGTATTTTTAACTTTATAGGTGCTGGAAATTTCATTCATTCATTCATAAAATAGGTTTCCTCTAAATAGCTTGTAAGAAAACCTTCAGTTACTTAATGACTAAGTGTTTGTGGCAAACATTCTCTAAATAAAAGGTAGTATTTTCCAAGAAAACATTTATATTGCCTGGAAACTTTGAAGTGAAGCATTCTGCCAGTCTGGTAGCTTCAGCAAACATTTTATTTTGGGCTGCTGAAAGATCTACATCTTGATTATTTGTGAAACTTTTCCTCCCACTGCTGGTAAAAACATTTCTAAAGTGTCTTGTTAGTTATAGGTTGCACAGAGTATCTTTAAGTGATACTTTTAAAAATGTTCCTGGCGTTAAACTGATGATCTGTAAACATTTTATTTTATTTTTAATTGTATGTGTGTGTCTGTCTGTCTGTCTGTGAGTGAGTCTGTGGACAGGAGTGCAGGTGCCTCTGGAGACTAGAGAGGGACTTTGAATTCCCTCAGTCTGGAGTGACAGGTGGTTGTGACCCACTTGATACAGGTTCTAGGAACTAAATTCTGGTCCCCTATAAGAACAGTAAGATCTCTTAGATGCTGAGCCATCTTTGAGATCTGTAAAGTGCTGACCTTGAAAATATTTTTTATCTTTTCTGGGCCCGAGAGATGGCTCAGTGGTTAAGAGCACTGGCTGTTGTTCCAGAGGCCCTGAGTTCAATTCCCAGCAACCGTGTGGTGTCTCACAACCATCTGTAATGGAATCTGATGCTCTCTTCTGGCATGCTGGCATTCATGCAGATAGAACTCATATACATACATAAATATATCCTAAAAAATACTTTATCTTTTTAATTCTTTGTTTCTATTGTAGACATGATATGAGTATTCTTTCCTCATAGTGCAACCTATATCATTCCTTCAAATCAGTTAATGTTGCTGTGTACTTTGCGTTGTGCTTGGCTTGGAGAATGTAATACTTCACCATGCGATGATTTCTGTTACTAAAGTGCTTGGGAGGTGTGAGGACAGTCTGGCTCCAGCATTGTCCGTCACACACACACACACACACACACACACACACACACACACACACACACACCGTTGATGGACAGGACTGATTCAGCTATTCTGTCTGACTGGACAGTGTCTACGCCCTCCTTAATGGTTCTATCATGTCCTTCTTGAAGCTGCATCCTCACTTCAAGGGATGACCTTCTTTCTTTCAGAGTACAGGATATATGTGTCCTTTGTAATAGCCTCCAGACAAGAGCTGCTGGTTTAGTTTAGGAAATAAGCAAGGGTAAAATTAGATTATTAACAGGAAGTATGTTAATAATCTCTACACTGGTTATAAGCACTCGGCATCACAGTGGACGTGTGTTAGCCCAATACCAGCTGAGAAAGGAAGATCTGTGTATGCAAACAGGACAGACTGCCAAATACTATATGAACTTGATAAATCTTACAGGGACTCCAGAGAGAAGCAGCAAGGAAGTGTTGTTAGCTCTTTGTGGAGGAGTGAACTTGTGAGCATGCATGAGTGAGGTTCAAGGGCATAGGGGATAAAGGAGGAAAGTTGAGCAAATGCAGAGCTTAGGTTCAGATGACTAATCATTAGGCAGACTCTTCCTTAGTGGTGCTGTTGCTGAGCAAGAGGGGTTAGATCAAATTGTTCTGTTCCAGGCAACTAGATTGGCTGTGCTAGGAAGGGGAGAGGCGCTGTGGGCTTTTTATCCAAAAACAGCAGTCTGTGATTCCAGCTCCTAGTTCTGTGCACATCCGTCCCACTGACGAACAGACTGTACTAAAGTTAACCTCCTTAGCCTCTGGTCTCTTCGTTTCTAAAGAACAGTGTTTATTCTACTGGCAGGTCTCTCTGACTTTTGTTGTATAGAGAAAATGCATTATTTTTGAAAGTTCTTTTGCAATATGTAGTTTCCAACAGAAGTAAAATATTGTGAGAGTGATGTTTGTCTGGAGGTAGTGTGCAGTGTAGTGGTCTCTGGCTGGAAACATTTGTCTCAATAGATTTTAGTGACTGTTAGAAAGAACCCAGATTCAGTTTTGGCAGTCTAAGTCTGGGGTGATGAGGGCTTCCTCCTGGATGATGGCCCTGAGATTGACAGAGATAGGGTAGCTAGAAGGCTGGACCTAGTTGGCATATAAACTAACGACATGACTGCTCTATGGTATGGGAAGGCTTTATTGTAGATCTGAGAGAGAACAGCCAGAAGCATCTGGTAGAGTCTAGAACAGAGAGAAAACGTAGACTGATCATGGGCAGCAGACTGGACAAGGCCAGGGCTGTCTGTGAGAGAGGAGAGAAGAGCAGGGTATAGAGAATAGAAAAAGTAGACTGATCATGGGCAGCAGACTGGACAAGGCCAGGGCTGTCTGTGAGAGAGGAGAGAAGAGCAGGGTATAGAGAATAGAAAAAGTATAGTGAGACGAGCGGGAGCTGTGAGTGGTGAGAGGAGCTGGTGAGCTGGAGAGAGTTCAGGGTCCAAGACGGGTGAGAAGGTCCAGGATGCTCGCATGGACTTTGAAATGTATAACAACTTGTGTAACTTGTGAGTAGAGACTGGGTGAACCTAGAGGCTAGCATGGACTTGATATACTGATGGGCACCACAGGTGTATGTTAATTGGAGAGTCATATGTCCCTTTTGCCAGGGGTAAGGGAAATGACTCCTTTTGGCAGGTAAGAGCCAGTTTCGTAAGTTCCTGAGGAATTCTGGTTTTTATCTAATAGCCAGAATACAGTCCAGGTTGAGCTCATTTCTGAATGTTTGGACTGCCTTTTTATGGGAGTCTACTTTGCCTCTCAGCCTGTCAGCCATCAATTTGAGAGGAGAAAGAGGTAGAAAGGGCGACAGAAAGCTTTGTAGGCAGCTCCTGAGGATGAACGGAGACAGCCCTCTGGGAGACAAATTTCGGTGAATCAGTTCAACTTTATTCCAGAGTATAAGGAACGTATAGGATTAGGGAGCCTGGAGACAGACCCTAATTTGCATTAAGCGGCAGGCTGCTATCACAAGGCTTAGGATGTGGCAGTGGGTTCCTAAAGCAGAGCCCCTAGCACAAGTCTACTTAGCAGGGATCTGTGCCAAGGGTCAAGCTAAAGATGAATCGGTCATCTGGTTTAGAGACAGCTTTTAGGTAAGATCAGGCCTACAGGCCTAGGGACATTCTCCAGATAAGGACAGGTAGAGAACAGGAAGGCTTGCTGGGGAGGAAGGGGGTTTCCATATTGTCAAGCTTAGAGAAAGCTGCCAGGCTATGGCAGACTGCGACCTCTAACCAGCCAGCAATGTATTCCCCTTTGGAGTTTGGGGAATTGGAGTTTACTTTGGACCTGACAGTTGGGACCACAAATGGCCTCTTACTAAGCATGGCAGTTTTGAGGTAGCTGAACTTCTTATGTAGCAGCAAGCTCCAGGCAGAAGCTATACGATTTTTCTGGCCCAGTAGCCTGGCAAGCGTCATAGTGTTGATTCAGGCACATTCTTCTGGTTATAAAGAGTCTTTAGGACAGACTAGATGTAGTCTACTTTGTGGTGGCACCGTGGCAGTTGAATGCAAGTGATAGAGGTTACCAGGGAATCTGTGATGGCTCCTCTGGTTTTCGGTCCTAGTAACCGGAAAAATGGGATTGATGTTATCAAAGCCAGAGGAACTTTTGTTTGTTTGATAAAGAAGAGTAGTTTAGTTTGCCTGTATTGAGTGTGAGAAAATGATGGACTATCCTGGTAGTTAGTTATCCTCAGTTTATCGGTTGGAATAGAGGAATGGTGAAGGTAAGGTAAGGTAGCTGAAACAGACATAGATCTGGGAATTGTTTTCCTAATCATTACTGCTGATAGGATTGAAATCTTCAGGGAAGAGCAGGGATGGACAGAACAGAGAAGCACGAACAGAGGCTTTGTGTGAGGCCGAGCATGAAATGAAGTGCCACATCTTCGTGTGAATTTCAGAACCGCTGTGTAATAGTGCAGTAGAAGCCATTCCCAAGAGGTGGAATGGGAGATGAGGGAAGGCACAGTACCTGGGGTCCAGCCACTCCTAATCAGTTTTAAAGATCCCCTCACGGCTGTTACTGTTGGCTCACACCCATGTTAGGTGTTCTCATCTGGTACCTCTGAGCGCAGTGGTTTTCCATCCCCTTGGGGACATTTCAAACCTGACTGTTTGCCCAGAATATCTCTGTCATGTGTGTCGCTTCTGTTAGTTAGGTTGCTTTTTATTTTTAAAAGAAAATCTGTTTCCTTTGGCCTTTTTTAGGGGGAAGGGTTAGTAAGGACTTAAGTGATGAAAAACTTGTTTAGGCATATAGCATT